AACGCCCTGCTTGTCGGCCTTCCCAACTCCTCTCTCCACAAGCTGCAGATAATCCAGAATTCTGCAGCCTGTGTCCTCTCCCGCACCAAACTCCGTGACCCCATCTCCCCCATTCTCGCCCAACTCCAATGGCTCCCTATCCTTCAGAGGATCCAGTTCAAGATCCTGGTCCTCACCTACAAAGCCCTCCATGGCCTCACCCCACCCTACCTCTGCGACCTCCTAACCCAATACCAACCCGCCCGCTCCCTCCGTTCAGCCGGCTCTGGCCTGCTCCACGTCCCCGCCCCACCCGCCCCACCATTGGCGGGAGAGCCTTCAGCCACTCTGCCCCCAACCTCTGGAATTCCATCCCCCAATCACTCCGCCTCGCCCCCTCCTTAGCCTCCTTCAAGTCCCGCCTCAAAACCCTCCTCTTCGACCATGCCACCCCACTTCCCCTCCCCTCCCTTCTCCCCCTTGACCCTAGCTCGGTCTGAAATACTGACACTGTCCAGTGCCTTGGAACGTCCTCCCGACGTGAAAGGCGCTATACAAATGTAATCTTGTTGTTGTAAACTACAGGAGTTACAAAAGGATTCATAATGAGTAAATCCCAGCTATGCTGTGACCCACCCTCAGGGACTTCACTGGACTTTACAGAGTCCCAACATCTGAGCAGACTTGAGACTTGCATTTAAATTTTTTTGACCATTTTTCTTTTTTAGAATTATAAAATACTAGAAATTTCAGGATAGAAGGAGGCCCTTTGGCCATCAAGCCCATAATGGCCCCAGCTTTTTCCCTGGACTCTTTTTATATTGCCCTCAAAGTATACAGTCAATTCACTTTACAGTATATCCTGTGGTTTGCTTTGAGACGTCTCGAAGACGTGATAAGGCCCTGTATCAAATGTAAGGATTATTATGATTTTCTTTATTATTATTACACACACATTTGTGACTTTGCAAAATTTAGACATCAGTGGTTGTTGCTATGAAGGCAAATGCAGCAGCCAGTCTGAGCCACACACAGCACTGATTTAACCATCAGTTTTAATGAGGTTGGAGAGAGAAGAATTGAGGGCAATGTCACCAGGAGAGAGGACGAGGCGAAGAATCCAAGGTGGGATTGTGGTCACACTCGCCTGCTTGCAGCTTGTGGATGGATAGTTTCAATGTGGAATGGGGTCAAGCCTGGGACTGAGAGAGGGGAAGGGCTTCATTTGTTTCTGGGCTACTGGATGATTTCAAGATGATGTGCGACAGAGGAGGTTAAAATTATTTGTGCAGCACCTTAGGCCAGCTGATCAAATAAACTTTCTGTTCCCAAAGTAATCCTGAGGGACTCCCTAATGTTGCAGAAGGAATGGGAGGTTTTCATGGAGAGGAAGTCATTTGCAGGGTCTGTGTGTATCTGTCTTCTGGTGTGTTGAGGGGGGAGGGGAGGAAATCATTGAAGTGAATGTCAGGTCTGTGGTAGCGGACTTCATGTTTACTTTGAAAGGTTATTACATTGGAGAGGAAACCTGACTCCGAGGGCATTGACAAGTAGACTTCCTGGCTGTATTTCTCACACTCACGCACACACACAACACAAATACACATCACACACTCAAACAAATAGACATACGCATGCACGCAAAACATGCATTCACATCACATAAATCTAGACACCCCCCCCCCACACACACACACATGCAAACACACTGACAAAAACACACATGCACAAACCACAAGTGTTTCGCACACAAACACAGGTATAGAAATGCTTGTCACTGAGACACTTATTGCTGGACAGTGACAGGAAGCATAAGGAGGACTTAGTTAAGGTGCAGTCACTGAGTCTCACTGGCCCTGAGATACAGTCAGAGGCATCGCTTATATGCCACTGCCTACTGTTTTATGCTGAGCTAATGATAATTTGGTCAGTCATTAAGCCTTTGCAGCTGTTCTCCAATTCCGAGCACCCCACTTTAGGAGATGGCAAGGCTATGGAGAGGCTAAGGAGGAAATTCATTAGGAATGATGTCAGGGATTGATGTTGGCCGCTTTACTTCTGAGGAGAGGTTGGAGAAACTTGAGCTGTTTTCAGGTTGAGAGGAGACCTGAAAGAGGTGTTCAATCTTTTGCAGAACTTTGATGAAGTAAATAGGGAGAAACTTTTTGCACTGGTCACTGAGCCAGTTACACAGAGGGCAAAAGGCAACACACTGCACATGCTCGAAATCTTAAATAAAAACAGAAGTCACTGGGAACACTCAGCAGGTCATGGACCTGATACTTTAATTCACTTCCCTCTCTCCACAGATGCTGCCTCACCTGCTAAGTGTTCCCAGTGATTTCTGTTTTTATTTCAGTAACTTAGGGCATGACTTTAAGATCATTATGAAAAAGCAGAGAGATAGGTTAGTTTTTTTTACACAGAGGGTGATTAGCACATAATAATAATAATAATCCTTGCATTTGATATAGCGCTTTTCACGTCTTCTCGAGGTCTCAAAACGCTTCACAGAATAGACTGTAAAGTGAATTGACTGTATATTTGTGGGCGAAACATGGTAGCCAATTGTGCACAGCAGTGTCCCACAAACAGTCGTAGATTGAAAATTATCAATTTATTGTTGTTTTGTTTTGGAGGGATTATTATTAGATGTGTGGAGTAAGGAAACTTGCCCAAGGTTTCGCCCTCTGCCTGGAATTGAACCCTGGTGTTTCGCTTGCAAGGCAAGTGCTCTAATTACTGAGCTACAGGACTTCAGATGGAACGCCCCATCACAAATGAGGAATGGATAAATTTTTCAGAGCTGGCACAGGCACAATGGTCAGAATGGCCTCCTTTTATGCTTTAAAATTCTGATTGTGTTAAAAAATTGCAATTGTCTGATGAGGACTCCTGTGGGATCCTCCTGTGCCTGGGATTCTCCCAAGCTCCCCCCCTTCTTCCTCTTCCTCCTCCTCCTCCTCCCTGGCTTCAGTGTCGTGAACCATAAGGACACTCTTTGGGAGAGATTAATTCAACCCAACAGCATTCCTGACGGTTGAATCGTAGACGGGTTGCGGTGTGAGGTTTCTTTCAGCCAAAGTTCTGGTGTTTAAAATCATTCCACATGGGGCTAGAAATGACAGGGAGATGGGTTCTTTATAGCTAGTTAGCCGGGGGCGGGTGTGGGGGCAGAAATTCCTCCCGGGTCGAGATTACGACTATATTCATGGCTTTTCAGAATTAAATTTAAAAGAAAACTGACTTCAAAATTAAGACAGCATTTAAAATCGTACAAAATGTGCACATGGTGAACTTCTAAAACAAACATTCCCAGGCAAGTTCTTTCCACTTCCCCTGAAATAGCCAGTGAGTTCTGCTGCATCCCCTAAATTTAATGTGGTAGGAAACATTCACACCTTTAATACTATTTAAAAGGCACTTGTAAATGCCAGATAATGTTATATCATTGCACCACCATTTATACCATTCTCTGAGTGGCTGGAATGGACATTGAGACCAGTTTTACTGTAAATTAGGATTGAAGTAGTGGACACTGTCTGGTACCATACCCAAGTACCATTCAGCACCATTCACCTGGAACAAGGAGCATCTCCAGGCTATTTGAACATAGGAATTATTGTAGCTGAGTCCTAATTATATCTTCTGTCACCCTCCTATCCCTACCCTCCCTGCCCGCTACCCCTCCTGATCCTAACCACCAGCTCAGGTAAGGTTCCCTGACTGCCCAGTACTTCGGGACATCCTCCTGAAGCGCTGTACAAATGTAATTGGTTGTTGTTGCTGGACAACAACTCACTGGAAATTCACCCAGTTACTGGTAAGTGATTAGGAGTGATGAGCCCTGGCGAGTCTCCTCCCCTTTTTCTTTCCCAGCTTGTAGGTGCTGAGGCTAATTTTAGTATAATGTTCCCCTTCCTGGCTGGAATTAGCTAACTGTGCACACAAGCTATTGGACAGAGGACCTGTATGACTCCCTTTCACACTGATTAGTGCCTTCATCGACTGAGCCATGCAGGGAACGAGAATGAGGTAGGTTAAAGTCCCTTTACATTCCACACGTACCATCTATGATGAATGTGCCTCTCCCTCAGTTTAACTGGTCATAGTCACTGTCTCAACAGAGGTTAAAATATATCTTAAATTTTAAGAGTTTCTCCCCTGTTGAAAGGCAAAAAGAAGTTGCTTTTGGCCCAGCTTGATGGGATCGAATTACTTTTAATTGCCGCCTCCATCTCTCCTCTGCACAATTCATCCCCTTCCTTCCCTCATAGAAAGGGAGAAGGGGGATCACCCTGTTCTTATACAGAACACATACTGTATCTTGCATTTCAGGCATCCCTTGTCCTACATTCAGTACCTGTCAATGGAACCTTTCTACAGCCAAGAGGACTGTTATTACAGCTGGTAAACTCTGCCCGTGAATAAAGGCTGCCTTACAGAAGTTTCACACAGGCAGGAAACCCAGTCGGTGCCACTCATGTGTGAGAAGCACTTATTTCACAAGCAGCCATTAACATGGCAGTACTTCATCTGTGTGTGGGGAAGGGGAGAGAGACAGTGAAGGGGAGGGGAATCCACCTCAAATCCGCAGCCCAATTGATGTGCTGAACATCACATAGAGCACATTTTTTGACCTCAACGGGGGTTCAATGATCCATTTTGCAACAACAACAACTTGGATTTATATAGCGCCCTCCACGCTGGATGGCATCTCAGAGCGTTTCATATATCCCATATATCCCTCATTCCTACTCACCTCTTTGTTGCTTTCCTGATATCACGTGAAGTGCTGGTCTAATTTAAGCAGCTTGGTGGTTAATGGGAAGGCAGTAAGGCGGGTATTATGGAAGGAAGAGTTCAAATTGGCTAAAAGGTTCTCCTTCATCTGGACTTCTCTTCTGAACTCTTAGAAATGGCAAGCGGGGGTAAATACTGGTGACATGAAGGATCTCTTGTTGGAGGTGAGGGGACCTCTCGCAATCTGCGTGGCTGATTTCTCTGTCTCTTATTCCTAGGATGAATTGGACCTCACTGACAAGAATCGAGATGCTATGTTCGCTTTGCCCACGGAGAAGAAATGGCAAATATACTGCAGCAAAAAGAAGGTACGGAATGGGTAGGGCAACAGTGACAGCGTTTACATTGCAACTTTCACTCAAATAAATGTCTCCAAACCTTTTCAGGGAGTAAAAATGATTAGGGATGAATGTTTTTGCGGAGGCAAAAATAGCAGCCAATCTGCACCAACCAGTCCTGTAATGTAAATAGCAATCAGATGAGGGGCCAATTCATTTGAATTCAATGGTAAATTTAGATGAGGAGGGGAATGTAAAATAGGATAATCAGCAGCAAAAAACAGAATGGGAGGCGGGAGGGGTGGGTGTCTCAATGTTCCGTCGAATCACAAGGCAGTTGAAATCTGAAATACTATGTCTACACACTCAAAAAGGTAAGATGGTCTGGAAATAAAAAATAAACGAAATCTTAATATAGAATGTTATTTAAACAGCGGGTCCTGGAAACTCATCAATCGTTTTTCCCGAGAACTTTATGGGCAGTCCAGGGATGTGCGTGCACCAGTGATTCTAGAAAAGGCCACTAGTCACAGCAGTCATTTTGGACAATTTCTGTTGCCCAGCCATTGAATGTCTCGCTCAGTAATTGTTAGAACAGAAGAGGCTGATCCATCGTGTGCAGCAGAGAGTAATCAGACTTGCAGCTTACAATGTGCTGCTGTGTCACAAGTACATTTGGCAGCACATCAACTGAGCACCAAATATTAAATTAGGGAGCATCCTCAAGATCTTGGATCAAGATTGAATATTTGGGCCCGTAGACGAGAAGAGGGAGGGGTTTAGCACAGTGTAACAGGGAAGGGGGAGCACCTATAGATGCTGCCAGCCTGAGAACATCTGATGTTGGTGCCAGTGGCCACAGGTCTATGATTGTAGCAAATTACCAGTTGCAGGACTCTGCTCTTCATCTCACAAGCTTTGATCAGTAATGGCATTAAATTGGCTTCAAATATACGGACAGTGGGTTTCTTTCTATGGCGCAAGACTTGAACACTGCTTGGCCTCGAGATTGTTAGCAAAGCAAGTGGGGAGAGACAAGAAGGAATTTCTTCACTCAGAAGATTGAGTGCAGAATTCATTACCACAACGGGCTACTGAGGATGGGTCAATAGGATCATTGAGAAGGAAACTGGATAAGCACCTGAGCTATTAATAGATATAAGGAGAGAGCTGAAACGTGGGTAAATGCAAGTAGTAATAGCACAGACACTGGACTAAATGGCCTCCATGTGCTGAAAATGTCTGTGTTTCAATGCTTGTGTGTGTATGAGATCATTCTGCTAGACTTCCCTTCCCACTTCTAATTCATAACTTTTTGAACCTTGTCTTCGAACTCTGTCAATGACCTCATAATCTTGATAGTTTAAGACTTATAAGGTGTTTAATTTGCATTATTTCTTAATTGGATTCCTCAATTAGAAATCCTGTGTGACACATTTCTAGTTATTGGAAAGAGCCTCTCAATTTTGGATTTCTTGTTTAGGAAATATCGCAAAATAGACCCATTAAAAATTACAGCACAGAGGAAGACAGTTGTGTCCATGCTAGTTCTAGCTCCTCTACTCTATCTACCTACTCTAACCACAATTGACCCAATATTGATATGCTTCCTATTCAACTATTTATCCATTTCTCTCTTGAATGTTGTATGGTCTCAGCTTCGATAGCAACTTGTGGCAAAGTATTTCACGTCTAATAAGAAAGATATTTCTGTAACTACCTACTTGTTTCGCCCACAAGAAACACAGAGAATTCACTTTACATTATATTCTGTGAAGCGCTTTGAGATTTCTAGAAAACGTGCTATATCAAATGCAAGGATTTTTTAAAAAAAAATTCAGTTTTTTCCAACCTTAACTTGATGATCAAAAAAATAAAACATCCCCTTTTCCATAAGAGATAAGTATTCACCCCTCCCCCCAAAAAAGAGTGGAGGAACAAAAAAGGAAAGCAAATGGATATATAAAACGTAGCAAGTTACTCCCTGAAATGGGGGGATTGCACTGCATGAAAAGCCTCATGCAACATCTGTAAGTGTTTCTGAAGTTTGGCCCAGCATTAAAAAGGTGTTTGTTATATATATATATATATATAAGAAGTTGTGAATGCTGAAGCCCATCAGAATCCCTGATCTAATGATATAAAACAGGAAGGTGGTACACTTAATACAGTACCAGTAATATTTATTTAAATGTTTGGCCTGGGATTCGCATGGGCTTTCTCCCTTGGGGAGGGAAAATGTTTTTTTTAAATAAATAAGAAACCCATTCCACCAGCTGACAGGGCTTGGCTGGCAGGTCCATTTCTCAGCTGTCAATCAGACCTGCAGCATTATATCATCTTCTCCAAAAATCACTTCCAAGCTACAACCCTCTTGACTCTGTGTACATGTTGTGAAGATTTGTCAGCAGTGGGTGAACAAACTACCCGAATTAGAAAGGCACAACGCAAATGTAATTTTGTTGTTGTTGTGAGGGTTAATTTGGTATAAAGGAGCTGCCTGGACCACATGTTTTGTTAATCATTAATAGTCAAGCAGAGCAGTGGTGGAGAGCCCACATTGGGGGTGGGAGTGAATTCACTGAAAGGATGGTCCTAGAGGAGGGGTTTATGCAGAATCCAAGCAGTAGGTCTCAAGGCTAGATGAGCCAGGGCTGAGCCAAAGGAGAAAATTGAAAAAAGGACAATTTGTTGCCACAGAAAATTCAAAACACAGTACAAGAGAATGGAACAAAAGAAAACCAGTCTGTAGTTTTGTGATGAAAAAAAGACCCATGGCGGAACATTGATCTGTCACCCCACAACCTTTGAATTCAGATAGATGGGAAAGTGCCTCTACCACTCATGGTCGCTTCCAATTTTACACTGAATCAGTGGTGGCCATTTTGGTTTAGTCGAACAAATATTCACATGAAGGTCATGGCCCTGAATTCACTGGTGTTTTGAGCAACAGTACTGAGTGAGATGATAAAAATGTAAATGGTCATGTACTGGTGGGGAGAGGAAGGAGATTCTTTGACACAGTGACATAGAAATGCAATCCTGAAGTGCAATATCTTGACAATTTCATGTACCTGATCTGTAAATGCTTAATGCTCAGGGCTTCTCATTGGGAATTGCGGAAAGTAGGACTCATCCCGTATCCACACTCTCTCCTAGGAGATATTTCTGTATAAATATTCCTGATCGCTAAAGATAACGAGTAAAAACTTTACGTCAAACATCCGTTCACCCTCACGTGCAAAGTGGAGAACATTTTCCCGGGCAGTGGAAGTTTTCACCAAAACACTTGGACGACAACATTTCAGCATCTCTAGTCCATTTAAGCAAGTACTCCATTGCACACAAGTGAGTTTCTATGCCTATTATATGGAATAGGCCAGAGTTGAATAATAGAGACATGAGGGTGATTGGATAAATAATGTAGAATTTGTACTTGTTACTTTTGGGAACTTAGGTGAGAGAAGACCAAGGTCCATGTGGTTCGCCTTCCACCATCCTAGCAGTCGCTTGACATGTCATGTCCCAAACTACTGTTTCCTGAGATATTATTTTCCAGCAGAAATCTATCTAGTTTATTCTTGAAACAAACAACACTTTCTCCTTCCACTGTTTCCCTAGGGAGCCTGTTTCATAAGTTTACTGCATGCTCACTGAAGTGGTGTCTCCGCAGATTTGTTCTGAATTTACCTCCCTTCAATCGCAGGCTGTGTCCTCTGGTTCTACTGTTCAGTACAAGATAAAACATCTTGTCATGGTCTAGTCCCTTCAGAATCTTAAAGACCATAATCATATCAACAGTAGACCAGGGACTATTTGTGCAGAACTTTCCCTTAGGAGAGAGTGTGGATACAGGACAAAGTCCACAACAGATAGGCTAGATCTCTGTGAAAGAAGAAGCTTCAAAGGTCTCCTTTTATTCCATGGATTCTTGAATTTTTGTCTTGAAAGATTACTTTGCTGTCAATGACACCCTCCCCCCACATACTTTGCAATGATGTAGCTGTGAGCTCCCCACAGTTGGGTCTATTGAATTGCATAATAAGTGTGGCTGATCTCAATTACTCTGCTGTTCATGACCTTGTCTATAGTGGTTTCACTGTGTTGGCTGAGTGACAGTGGTAAAAGGCTTGTAAATTGCCCTCTGGAACAGTGAATGAGTTTAATTGAAAACGCACTGTCCTTTGCTAACCATGCTTAGGCCAAGCCTTATCTAAATCAGCTGACAGTCACATTTGAAAGGATGGGAGTTGTACCAAGTTTCCTAGGCGCAGCCTGTTTTTTCCCCATGAGGTATCAGTCAATGCATTTAAATGATTGATATTCCCTTGGATCAATATTTTAAGAAATTAATGTCAAAGGTGCAGAGAAAGAGCAGGGTATGGGAATAGAACAGATCATTCTGGAAGTTTGCTGCATTAACAAAAAGAACAAAATTACATTTATAGAGCGCCTTTCACGTCGGGAGGACATCCCAAAGCGCTGAACAGTCAGGTGTCGGGGCCCGAGCATGGGGGAGGGGTGGTGTAGGGGTGAGGGAAGGCAGAAAGGTGGGAAGGAGACCAAAGGCACGGTTGAAGAGAAAGGTCTTGAGACCGACCTTGAAGGAGGCAAGGGAGGAAGTGATGCGAAAGGACCATGGGATGGAGTTTCAGAGTGTGGGCGCAGAGAGGCTGAAAGCCCGGCCACTGATGGTAGGGCGGGTCGGGCGGGAGACATGGAGCAGGCCAGAGCCCGCTGAACAGAGGGAGCGGGCAGGCTCATAGGGAGTCAGCAGGTCAGAGAGGTAGGAGGGGACAAAGCTGGATCACTGACATAATGAGCTGATTTGCTACTTATTGTGCTCCAAACTTTTTGTGATTCTGTTATCCACTGCAAACTGTGTTTCCCCCAAAGTTTTTAACCAATCTTGACTATGTTGTTCCAAAGTTCAATGTAAGTTTCTTGCAGTGAGAACATCAAGCCAACCACTTTGTGCGCTGTGCATGTAACAGGCACCATGTTTGGGATTACTTTCGGACTTTTCAATCTACTTTCCTCCTCCCTTTCCAGAACCTTCCTCGTCTGCTCCCTGTATTCCTGACAGCAATTAGCTGTGAAGCTCTGAAAGATGATCTGGATTTACAAACGATATGTCAAATGCAAGGAGTATTATAAATTACATGTTATCTTTCATGTAAAAGGACAGCTCAAAGCACTTGACAACTGTTATTGTGAACACTATCACAAAGTTGAAATGCTAGAGAGATTTTTAGGTTTTAAGTCATCAAGAGGGGTTACGAGACAATATGGTTATGGAAGAGAGGTAGAGATGACAGCAGTGTGGTGGCTGAAGGCTCGGCCACCGACAGTATAATGGAGAATGATCAGTTGACCAGTTTGAAGAGTTGACAGGAATACAGGGCTGGACAAAATTCCGTCTAAACACTGGAACTATCTTGCTGGCTGGAGCTCTCTAAAAAATGTGAGATATTTGTGATTCCAAAGACTGAAGGATATTCTTAGTCCCGCAAGCATAGGAAATATACATTACATCATCCCTTTTGGCCTGGTGACCCTTGAAACATGACCCTTGAATTCTCATTATGGTCTAGGCCTCATTCTCTCAATTTGTAGAACTAAGGACTCATTTTGAGATGAAGCGATTACTGAAGATGCTTTATTCTATAAATGCACCCTCAAGCAAGACCTTCATATAATAAAAATATTATAATTCTTTCAGTGACTATCCTTCTTGGGGGGAAGGTAAGCGAGGTCTCCTTGGAGCTGAACTGGCTCCAATGTGACATGTTTGGCAACGGAATGTCGGAATCGAGCCAGCCCTCTGTGATGGTCTTTATTAAGTCCAGTTCCTGAGCCAGGCAAGTCCACAGTATTCTAGGGCACTGCTGATGACAGCATAGCCCAGCCTGGCTCATCAGCAGGACTTGAAAGGACAGACAAGACATTGGGGGGCATTGAGACATCCCACTCAACTCCTGTTAACCCTGTAAGCTGAAGCCCTAACGGGTAGGGGGGTCCTAGTTGGATAGCAGTAAGAAAGTTTGCCACACAACAATATCAATGGCAAATTGTGTGGTTTTCGCTGGTTAGACTCCAGCAATTACCCCAACGCACACCTTTGCCTTGGCTCTTGCCAACTTGCGCCTAATAATTTCTGGAATTAGGTAAGCAGGATGCATTACTCCAGGGAGAGAGTATACATTCCATTCCAACAATCTATCTCTGGGATTTCCATGTGCAGATGGGATGCATGGAAATTTCAGCTTGGTTTGGAGACTCTGGGATGCAGTTTCATAGAGTGGGGCAGATAAGCTGAAAGTCTGACCTCCGATAATGGGAGGTTAAGCTGGTGCCCACTGAATGGAGGGAGTGGCCATGTTGGTTGGTTTGTGAAAAATTATCTGGCTGATCCTGTTGTCAAATCCTATCTTTCCCCTTTTCCTACATGCACATACAACAACAACAAGATTCCATTTATAGAGCGCCTTTCACGTCGGGAGGACGTCCCAAGGTGCTGTACAGTTGGGTCAGGACCCGAGCAGGGGGGAAATGGTCAGGGTGAGGGGAGGGAAGGGAGGGAGCAAGGAAGGGGTAGAGAGTCGAGAGGGGAGCTGAAGGCACGGTCAAAGAGAAAGGTCTTGAGACCGGCCTTGAAGGAGGAAAGGGAGGAGGCGGCGAAGGCACTGGGGATAGAGTTCCAGAGCCTAGGGGCTGAGAGGCTGAAGGCCCGGCCACCAATGGTAGGGCGGTTGGGGCGGGGGATGTGGAGCAGACCGGAGCCAGAGGAACGGAGGGGCAGGTAAGTAGGGAATAATAGGTCGGAGAGGTAGGAGGGAGCGAGGCCGTGAATGGCCTTGTAGGCGAGGATGAGGATCTTGAAATTGATCCTCTGGGGGATGGGGAGCCAGTGGAGGCGAGCGAGGGTGGGAGTGATGTGGTCCCGAAGCCTGGTGCGGGACAGTACACGAGCTGCAGAGTTCTGAATGACCTGCAGCTTGTGGAGGGAGGTGCCGGGAAGGCCGGCGAGGAGAGAGTTCCCATAGTTCAGCCTTGAGGTGATAAAGGTGTGGACCAGAGTTTCAGACATACTGAAGACATACTGTCTTCACTACCCTTCACTGCTAAAAATGCGTTCAATTCACTCTTGAAAACTGCCCGCACTATCCACCTCCTTGGGTAAACTGTTCCACATGTTAAATATTCTCAGTTTGACATTCTGAGCCCCTGTTGTGAACCTCTTGACCATATTGAATAGATTGTCTCTAACCTTTAAAATGCAGATTACTTAAATTGCCTCTTTTCCAATGTGACCATTCCCAGCTCCTGCAACCTCTCCCAGTATAGATGCTGAACACCATACATTCAAACAATTCACTGCTGATTTATTGACTGAAGTGTTTATTTTGACAAAGGAGTTGGCAAGGAGAGGCTAAGGGTAGGCCCACTGGTTGCTGATAGTGTTGGCTTTCCCTGAGTGTATCAGCTAGCACTGGCTCAGCAGTGCCATGGATTGTACTTTGATCTAGAATTTTTCTCTTGTTTACCAGGAACAGGATGATCCCAATAAGCAGGCCACCAGTTGGCCTGACTACTACATCGACCGAATCAACTCCATGGCTGCAGTAAGTGACTGTCTTTAACTCAGATGTTACAGGGTCTGGCTATTGAAACGCAATGAATATCCCTATTTCTCCACAGCCTGAATGATTTACCTGATTCCATGCCTCTGATTTGTTGTATGTTACATTTTTTTGACCATTTTTCTTTTCTAGAATTACAAAAAACTAGAAATTTCAGGATAGAAGGAGGCCCTTTGGCCATCAAGCCCTTCCCTGGACTCTTTTTATTTTGCCCACAAAACATAGTTAATTTAATTTACAGTATGTTCTGCGAAGCACTTTGAGACGTCTCGAAGATGTGATAAGGTGCTGTATCAAATACAACGATTATTATTTGCTTTTCTTCAAATATTGGAGGTCTGCTGGCCAACTGGTAAAGAGTTAATTTTGGGGGAAGAGTGCGAATATTGCCGCTCTTTGATACATGAAATATAAAAAGTTAACCAAAAAATTAAGCCTGGTGAGGGACTGCAGTTTATAAAACATAGTCTCTTCACTTTAGTAATGTCACGATGGCAGATGCTAGAATCTGAAAAGGAAGTAATCACTTCCGGAAAGTGATGTGCTGCCACCTCGTGGGCGATAATTTAATGCCAGCAAAAGGCAAAGTGCTGCAGATGCTGGAAATCAATTTGAAATAAAAACAGAAATCACTGGGAAGACTCAGCAGGTTAGGCAGCATCTATGGAGAGAGGAAAGTGAGTTAACGTTTCAGGTTCATGACCTCAACTTAATGCCAGCGATTGGTTTGCAGTGTAGTGCTGGAATCTACCTTCACTTATTCGATTCCCTTATAGATAACCGGATACGTGAGTCTTAAGTTGTTTAGATTTCTCAGAGGTCCATGTGCCGGCACAGAAAAACAATAACAGCAACAATTTCATTTATACAACGCCTTTCACACAGGGTAGCATCCCGGAGCACTGAACAATGGCATTGCCCCAGCACGCCACAACCCTGGATGGACACTCGCTGGCTGTGGTGTGGTGTGGTTGTTGCTTAATTAAATGTTTTGTTCCTCTACAGATGCAGACCCTTTTTGCCTACGAAGAGGAGGAAATGGAAATGAGAAACACAGTGGTTGAAGGCCTCAAGACAGCTCTACGAACACAGCCAATGAGGTATTGTTTCATTGAGAAACAAGTGGGATTGGCCAGTTTGGTGTTAACTTGTGCTGAGGTAGAGGTCACAGGGTCAGACTTGTGGCCCTGTGATATTTATTGCATGTAATGGGCCTCAGCCAGGACCCCACCCTCGCCCACTGGTGTCAATCAAGAAACCGGGATTGCAGTTCTGTACTTCCAGCTTGTGAATTGTGACCTTTGACTTGTGATGGCCTTTGACTCGTTAGTAAACCTTTGACGAGTTTGTTAGTAAACAAAATACTCAAAACCCATGAAGCATCAGTTGAAGTTTGAGACCTCCCAGGCGTCACCATTCCATTGGGGGAGGTTGGAAGTTTCTGAACCAGCTGATATCAATGTGATGGTTTACCATTGTTGACAGGCAGATTATTTGCATGTTCCTTTGTCCTATGGCACTTTATATTGGGCCTTCATCAGTCCTCCCTGATCTCTTCCCTTATCCTTTCATATTGTTTTCCTTCAGGTGTTTATTCAATTCCCTTTTAAAAGCTATTACAGATCTGGTTTCTAAAGTTATCTATTGCAAAGTAAAGCTTTTCATATTCTAATGACCCTCGTCCTATATAAAAAAAACTCTTTAAACTTCCAGCTTCATTCTTCTGTGATAATCCTCAATTTTTGCCCTGTTCATTTACAAAATATGGCCACTAAAATTTACAGTATAATCCTGTAAAGCACTTTGAGACATCTTCCTGATATGAAAGGAACTATATCAAATGTAGAGATGGAATTATTATTGTTAACTCACTGATCAGTGAAATTCATGCCTCTTTTAATTGTATCTATTTTTGGAACATCTGATAGATTCCTTCACCACCCCATTTCCTCTCCACCACCAACCTCTGAGCTTTGGGCTTAATTGAGTCAATCGAAAATTTACTTCTTGACAATCTTGAGCTTATGCTCATTTGAGTGCATTTCATGTACTTTGTGACGATTGTACCAATATTAGTCAAGTTGTGCTACATGCAGAGACCAGATCTGTCTGCATCAAATTGGATACGCAAAATTTTGAGCTCGTAGTCTAGAGCATAATGATGCCATCAGCTGCTTGTGCAGATGACCATTAAAGAGCCGGTGATGCTGTTTGAAAGAGAAGGCAATGATTCTCGGTGTCCTGGCCAACATTGCTTCAGATAGAGAGGTCATTCACTTCATGGCTGTGCACAAATTGGCTTTTGCGTTCACCTACAATACAGTCATTACAAACACAGTAAAAATGCTTTGAAACGCTTTGAGATATTTCAATGCTATAAGGCTCTATATCAATTGCAAAGATTCTCCTTCTTATTCCTTCCATTATATGGAAGGGACAAAACAGCTGCTGAGATTTACTTTCAGTGCTTTGCAGCTGTCAAATGAACACAGAAATAGAGACTGCTCAAAACTCATTATGTTGCCACTAATCTTAATAAGAAATCTCTGGCACTACCAATCTACACTGAGAACAATGCATGCCCTGCATTGGTGCATGACAGCACCACAATTGATGGAATATGCGTCACAATCTGATTCCAAATGCTGGATGTTCAATTTTTTTACATTTGAAAAAAATATTTAGCCAGAAGCAGACGGGCAAAGAGCCTCAGCTAGAACTAATACGTTTCATCCTCAACGATATCAAAGAAACGTATTCAACATTCTCATACTCGGCTCTTATTTAGAATCATAGAGTTATGCAGCACAGAAAGAGGTCATTTGGTCCATTGTGTTCATGCCGGCTCTTTGAAAGAGCTATCCAAATTAATCCAATTCCCCCACTCTCTCCCCTGCAAATTTGTCTTCCCCAAATATCTACCTACTTCTCTCTTGAAAGTATCTTCTCCCTCTTTCTCTTCCCACCTCCCTTGGCTACCACCCCCAGGTCCGCTGCTCAACCAGTAATGTGAAGCACTTTGAGATGTCTTCCCGATGTGAAAGACTCTATATAACTGCAAACTGTATTGTATTGACAGCCCCTCTGTGGTTCCGAAAATGAGGCTTATTAACCTGCTCCACCATTTTATTAGTTCATAGCAACTCTTCATTTTCCTAAATCCCATGTTCTCAATACCCTTTCTATCTGAGTCCTGGACTTTCCCCTTCACAAACAACTCAGTCAATTGAGATGGTGCATTCCAATTCGTGTGATTTCTCGCGCTACGTGGAATCCTGTAGCTCAGAGCACTCGCCTTGCAAGCGAGAAGACCCGGGTTTGATTTCCGGCAGGGTGAAACGTTGGGCAAGTTTCCTTGCTCCACATGCCTCTGTTTATCTAGGATTAAGTAGGAACTTGGTTGTCAGTCAATTGGCAGATCGCTTTTCTGGTGATAATAATTCCTTCAAAAAATAATAATTTATTCACTCAATCCTCGACTGTTTGTGAGACACTGCTGTGCGCAATTGGCTTCCGGGTTTCACCCACAAAATACATAGTCAATTCACTTCACTGTGTATTATGTGAAGTGCTTTGAGATGTGTTGAAGATGTGATAAAGCATTATATCAAATGCAAGGTGTGGAGAAACCTCTTGATACGGTTGGATCTGTTTTAAATGACTGACCTACCCAAAAGAGAAAGTGTGAGAGTGGTTTGGCTGGCCATACTTGGGATATTCCGATCAGAGCTGGCAGTTTTTCTCTATTTGACACTGCCACCCTTCAAGCTTTCACTGGGCAAAAAAAGCATGTTCATAAATTTCCTGCTGGCTTAGTTTTGTCAATATTCTTTGGAGCATGGATTTAACCCTTCCACCCACTCAGATGGAAATGTGAGGAATTCCGGTGTTGGAAAGGTTAGCAAATAGCAACACAATCTGGCATTGCACTGTATTGGACAAGGTCTCTCATTGTTTCTGGGGAACAGGAGGCTTGGAACTGGGGACAGTGAGGAGGTGATGGCTTCAACCAACTATATGTAAAAGGAGGTGGCAGAGGAGATGTTACAGACATCTCATGGCAAGACTGATATCATATTTGCTTTCTACACTCAGACATGCACATGAAGAATGGGTATGGATCCGGGATTCATAAAGTACTAATGATGCATGTGGCTTTTCCATTTCCCACAGGGTAACCCCCTTGTACATCATACTGAGCTGCAGCAACTGAGCTCTGAAGCAATCCTTCAGTTTAGCTCACTCGCCTCTTGAGTCAGAAGGTTTTGGGTTGACATCCCACGTCAGGACTTGAACTCACATTGTGTAAACTGACAGTGCAATGCTGGAGGGGATGGGTATTGCAATGTTGAGGATGCCATTCTTCGGATGAGACGTTAAACTGAATCAGACGTCTGCCAGTTCAAATGGTCGTTAAAGATCCCAAGACACTATTCGAAAAGAGAAGGGAGTTTCTCCTGGTATCTTGCTCAATAAATCCTCTGGATAAAATTGGTCACTCACTCCTTGATTCGATAACAACTTATAGGAGAGAAGTAGATAATTATTTGGGGAGGACAAGTTTGCAGGATTATGGGGCGAGCGGGGGCAAATGGGATTGATTTGGGTAGCTTGTTTAAAAGAGCCAGCACAGACACGATGGGCCGAATGACTTCCTTTGCTCTATGATTCTATGGCTGTTTGTGGGACATTGCTGAGCACAACTGGCTGCTGCATTTCTCCACAAAATACAGTCAATTCACTTTACAGTATATCCAGTGAAGCACTTTGAGATGTCTTGGTGATGGGATAAGGCACTATATCAAATGCAAGGATTATTTTATTCTCCAGGGGCATCTTGACATACACAGGGTGCCTATGGCAGTTACACTTTATGTTCCGAGGAGCTTTTTCCAGTATCCAATATCAAGCTTTTTCGTTACCCTTCTTCTACCAGAGCATTTATTTTCAACCGAAGTAATGTCCAATACCAACCACGTCAGTACCTCATGTGTGATAATGAGCTGCTGCTGTAAATGTGCTCCACTGGAGTTTTTTGTGCCATGTTTACCCGCTTTGAGTACCAAATAGCTATCTGCATGACTTGGCATATCTGCATATTTTAAAGAAACTCCTACCAGCCTTGTTAGCATAGTTTTCCTGGTAATCACCAAAGTCTCACTATGCATCTGGCAGCAGATGATTGGTGCTGTGCTATTGACTGCTGGCAACAGAATAATAAGGATGGGAGATGTGAGTGGAAGTGCCTGACTGATCATATGTGCCAAAGTCTAATCTAGTGCTATTCAAAGAGGGAGGCTTTGAATGGGCGATTGTCCTTGTTCAAGTCGGGCAATGTTTTAAAGAGAAAGGTTTTACAAATCCAGTGTTATTTCCTTCTTAGCTCCACTTGGATTCCAAATTTGCCTGGCATGAGTCAGCTGCTTCAGAGAGAGTAAGAGAAAATTGCAAGTGGGAAGAATTAGTGTGGCAGCGAAGCGATGCAGTTTGACAAATAGGGATTTGAAAACAAGTGAGAGGATATTAAAATCGATCCGTTCGATGATTGGGAGCCAGTCGAGCCTGGCAAGGACTGATGTGATGGGGGGTAATAATAATAATAATAATAATAATAATCCTTGCATTTGCTATAGCGCTTTTCATGTCGGGAGGATATCCCAAAGCGCTTCACAGAACACTCTGTAAGGTGAATTGACTGTATATTTGTGGGCGAACGCAGCAGCCAATTGCGCACAGCAATGTCCCACAAACAGTCGTAGATTGAAAATGACCAATTTTTATTATTGTTTTTCGTTTTTGGAGGGATTATTATTAGGCGTGTGGAGTAAAGAAACTTGCCCAAGGTTTCGCCCTCTGCCTGGAATTGAACTCAGGTCTCTCGCTTGCAAAGCGAGTGCTCTAACCACTGAGCTGCAGGACTCCAAATTACAGGGGATGGAGTTTAGTGTGTGTGATTAGGAGCCGGTGGAGCTTGGTAAGGACCCCTCACAGGCTCACATGTGAAGAATAACCATTTGGACATAGTACTGGAGGCTGGCTGACTTCCTTGGACAGATACCCCAGAATGAGACAGCTCCTTTGCAGGAGAAAATGGAGGAAAAGAAAACTGAAACTCACTGGGTATTTAGTTTGGGGCCAATTCTTGCCTGAGAACAGACCTGAAAGTGCAGGAGAGGCTTCGGAGTTCGAGATCTTTTGGTTTTGAAGTACTATAAATATTAATAATAATAATTCTTCCATTTGATATAACATCTTATCACATCTTTGAGACATCTCAAAGCATTTCACAGGATTAACTGCAAAATGCAGTGATTTTGTATTTCGTAGCCAAACGCAGCAGCCAATTTCCACACGACAATGTCCCATAAACAGGAAAAACATATAAATTTACATTCATATAGCATCTTTCACATCATGTGAAGTGAATTGAATGATCAATTTTATCTGGCCAGGAAACTGGGAGAAATTTCCTTCTCTTTTCAAGCAGTGCTATGTGATCTTTAACACGATCCTTTAGCTCAGTAGTTAGAGCACTCAACCTCGCAAGTGAGAGGACCTGGGTTTGATTCCTGGCAGGGCAAAATATTGGGCGAGTTTCCTTACTCCTTACGTAAATAGGAATCCAGTTGTTAGTTGATTGGCGGATCGCTTTTCCGGGGGTAATAATCCCTCAAAAAAAAAAAAAAATTTGGTCACCCACTGTTTGTGGGACACAGTTGTGCGCAATTGGCTGACACATTTCGCCCACAAAATACATAGTCACTCCACTTTACAGTATATTCTGTAAAAATGCTTTGAGACGTCTCAAATATGTGATAAGGCACATATCAAATGCAAGGATTATGATAACATTCACCTGAAAGGCGGAATGTTTAACATCTGAACGACGGCACTTTGACAATGCAGATCTCCCCAACACTGCACTGGAGTGTCAGCCTGGATTAAGAGTTCAAAGTCCAACCTTCTGACACAGTGTTACTAACTGACCCCAACTCAGGCAAGCTTCGGCCTGCTTCATGTTCCCCACCTTGCCTACCCCACCATTGGCGGGCGGGCCTTCAGCCTCTCTGTCCCCACCCTCTGGATCTCCATCCCACAGCCCCTCCACCTTCCCCCCTCCCTTGCCTCCTTGAAAACCCGTCTTAAGTCCTCTTTGATCGTGCCTTCAGTCACCCTCCTATTCCTGCCCTCCACCGCCCTGATCCCAACCACCAGCTTGGGTGCAGACTGTCAAGTGGCTTGGGACGTCCTCCTGATGTGAAAGGCGCTATACAAGTGTAATTTGTTGTTTTTAATGTTGACCCATACTGACATACGTGTGATATTTTGACCCTCAGGTTTGTGATGCGGTTCATTGAGCTGGATGGCCTTACGTGCCTATTAAACTTTCTGAGAAGCATGGACTATGACACGTCAGAGAGCCGAATTCACACATCCGTTATAGGGTGTATCAAGGCCCTGATGAACAATTCACAGGGACGGGCCCACGTGCTGGCCCATCCTGAGAGCATCAACATCATCTCGCAGAGTCTCAGGAGCGAGAACGTCAAGACAAAAATCGCAGTGCTGGAGATCCTGGGGGCGGTTTGCTTGGTACCCGGGGGCCACAAGAAGGTGCTGCAAGCAATGTTGCACTATCAGCTTCATGTGGCTGAGAGGACCCGCTTCCAGGTAGGCTTTACTCCCTGTGACACATACGCTCCCATAATCACAGAGAGCCTCAGTCAGGCACAGTGATGCCCACCTGATTGGTGAAAATCGGGGAGGGAGAGCACAGGTTTTGCCCTGCCTCACCAGAGTGATCCTGGGAAATAAATTAAACCAAAACATTAACTTGTTGGGTCACAATTTACAAATCAAAAAACATTTGCTACAAATTATAATAGTGGTAGAAGGGAAAAGGAACAGACTTCTTTCCAGAAGCGGGTGTTGCCATCGTATGGGCAAGAATTAATGTCAGAGATCTTGTTTTCTGGTCAGCCGGGTGTCTAACACTTGCAGAAAACCATCACTATGCTTAAGAATATCGAAACCAGACTGAGAGTTCCATGTAAGCCAGTTACATGTGGAAATTCTCAGGTCTGGAATGGAATGCACACTCTCTCCCTGGAGGGATAGTTAAGAAATGCTGGAAACATTACCCAATTTTTCAAGAATTTTTTTGTCATTTTTAGTTTCCTTTGGATTGTTCTTCATTAAAAGTAAAGTAATTCATTCAAGTCTCACATCACACTTGCGCTAATCATTCAGAGATTGGAAATCTCTCATGATATTAGCCTTCAGACCATTTTCTTAACATTTAGAATGGTACAGAATTTTGGAAAATTTGTAAATTCAGTATAAATTTGAAAGCTAGTTTGTGAACTTATTTGTAAAACCACCTTCCAAATTAAGTCTTTCCCCTGCCAAAGTGACGTTTTGCATAATTCTGCAATATGTTAAATGCTCGAGAAAGGCTAATACTTTTGACAAACGTTTGGCCTCAGATGCTTAGGAAGCAGCTTCTACTTCATATTTGTGGAGTTGATTATTGCTGACAATCAGCAATATTAACGCATAACTCTGGATCATGTTTCCAACATCAGGAAGGTACAAGGAAGTGAGTTAGCAGCGAAAAGTAGATATAGGAAAGAAATGTGATTAGGACAAAGCACCAAAATAATACAATTTACATTTACACAATTTAATTTTGGGAGGATTCCTCAAACGGCTTTAAGTACTCAGGTGGGCACCAAACAAAAGCAAATGGATGCCTAGGGGAATATAGGGAAGAGTGTCAATGCAATTGTCATTAGGGACACAATGGTGAAAGGGGTAGACAAGCATTTCTGCAACCAAAGACGTGACTCTCGCATGGTATGTTGCCTCCCGGATGCCTGGGTTGAAGACATCACAGAACGGGTGCAAAACGTTCTACAGGGGGAATGGAAACATCCAGAAGTTGTGGTCCATGTTGGGATCCATGACATAGGGGGAAAAAAGGGCTGAGATCCTACAGGGAGAGTATCAGAAGCTACAACAACAACAACAACAACTTGGATTTATATAGCGCCCTCCATGCCGGATGGCATCTCAGAGTGCTGTACTATAACGGATCCCGGGGCCGAGCCAGTGGGAGAGGGAGTAAGGTGACCAAAGGCGCGGTCGAAGAGAAAGGTCTTCAGCAGAGACGGGGGACATGATGTAGTGGCAATAACAGAGACCTGCCTCAAATAAAGGCAGGAATGGGAGCTGAATATTCCTGGCTACAATGTATTCAGGAGGGATAGGGGAGGAAAAAAAGGAGGGGGGTGTGGTAATATTGATTAAAGATTAATTGATGGTTACGGCCCTGGAAAGAGACAATGTGCTATAGGGTCCAAAAATAGAATCTATTTTGTTAGAGTTAAGGAGCAGAAAAGGAGCTCTTACTCTGTTAGGTGTATACTATAGACCGCCAAATAGTGGGAAGGAGATAGACGAGCAAATCTGCAAGCAGATTTCAGAAAGATGCAAACCCAATAGAGTAGTGATAATGGGGGACTTCAATTATCCTAACTGGCAAAATAACAGTGTAAAGGGCAAGGAGGGGAAGGAATCCTAAAATGTATGCAGGATTACTTTCTGGTTCAGTATGACTTCCAGCCCAACAAGCAAGGAAGCAGTGCCGGATCGAGTTCTGGGAAATGAAGTGGAGCAGGTTTCAGAAGGAGAGCATCTGGACAACAGTGATCAGAACATCATTAGGTTTAGAGAACTTATGGAAAGGGACAAAAAGCAATCAAAGGTGAAGATACTCAACTGGAAGAGGGCTAATTTCAGTGAGTTAAAAAGGGACCTATCCAAAGTGGACAGGAAAGAAAGATTGGCAGGTAAAACAGCGAACGAGCAATGGGAAGCCTTCAAGGAGTAGATAGTTCGGGGACAGAACAAATACATTTCCACAAAAGGGAAAAGTTGGGCATCCAAACCTCCCTGGATGAATAAGGAAATTGGGATTAAAATAAAACAGAAAAAGGATTCTGTAATTCAAACCAGTGTGGAGGGGAGGTGGGGAATAGCTGAAGAAGGTGCGGGCCGGAAACGTAGCAGAAAATAGTGATCGAAGATGGAGGTCTTCAGGCAGAAAGTGGGTAGGGAGGAGACAAGTTGGAGGAATCTGGGCTAGAGTTCCATATAATAAGCTCAGGCATATTGGGAGGGGGGAACTAGCACTGCCAGACGCAACAGGGAAAGAGCAGGGAAATTAGATCAGAGTTTATAAATCCAGTCACAGAGGAAGAACAGCATGAGCTCAAGGAATGTCCTGCTATGTTTTAAATGCTTTGATTCGAGGTTAAGTCAGTTAAACCATCGTAAAGCGTTTTTTTTTCTGGTTTCAGACCTTGCTGAACGAGCTGGACAAGAACACTGGAAAGTACAGGGAAGAGGTTCACATCAAGACTGCAATAATGTCCTTCATTAATGCAGTGCTAAATGCCGGGGCAGGAGAGGTGCGTCGGGGTTGGGGGCCAGTGGTCAGGGCTAGAGGCCAGGGCAAGGGATCAGGGCAGGGCATCAGGAGATCTAATCTCTGTCTTTCCAGGTCTCTCCAGTTGCCCAAATTCCCAAACTTCCTCCCAGTCTTAGCCTGTGAGACTACTTTGCATTAAAATTTAAGATTGCATTCACTTAAAAAATACACTATAATGAGAAAATTCTGTGAAGTGCTTTGAAATGTGTGAATACACTGTATAAAATGCAAGGATTGTTATTCTATTTATAATTGTGGAAAACTCTAATTCAATCTCAATTTAGGAGGCAAATTTCCGCAGTTCTTTAAGGGAGCCTGGCTCCCAAATTAAGATTGAGTTTAAAATTTTTTCACAATTATATACTATGTTGAGGTTTAACAGGTGGAACATTGGGCCTCAGGTGCCATCAATTAAAGTGTGAGCTTCACCTTTGTGATCTCTTTCAAAGAAGCAGTCTCAGCCTTTGGGCCCTTTTTAATGAGGTGATCTCTGGTCTCCATCGAAAGGAGTTTTGCAATAAGACTGTGCATCAACAACAACAACAAAATTACATTTTTAGAGCGCCTTTCATGTCGGGAGGACGACTCAGGTGTCGGGGCCCGAGCATGGGTAGGAGTGAGGGAAGGCAAAGAGGTGGGAGGGAGACCAAAGGCACGGTCGAAGAAAAGGGTTTTGATGGTAGGGCGGAAGACATGGAGCAGGCCGGAGCCCGATGAACGGAGGGAGCGGGCAGGTTGGTAGGGAGTCAGCAGCTCAGAGAGGTAGGAGGGGGCAAGGCCATGGATGGCCTTAAAGGTGAGGATGAGAATCTTGAATTTGATCCTCTGGGGATGGGGAGTCAGTGGAGTTGGGCGAGGGTGGGAGTGATAGGGTCACGGAGCCTGGTGGGTGAGAATACACGAGCTGCAGAGTTTTGGATGATCTGCAGCTTGTAAAGGGAAGAGTTGGGAAGGCCGATGAGGAGGGAGTTCCCGTACACTCCCATACACTCCCAAGCCTACACTGTTTCAACACTGCCCGCCCAATTCCAAATGATGTGGGAGGAGGGGGAAACACCATCATAGAACAAGGCTTCACTGACCATAAATTAGTACTAAATCGATCATCTCATCCAAGAAGCCACATGGCTGGTGCGGACAATTAGACAAGTCAGAATGTTACTTATGTGAAAGAAACTATACAAATGTAATGTTGTTATTGTTGTTTGCTACAATCTGTGCGGCCCAGGTCTGGAACTTCTTATAATAGTAATAATAATAATCCTTGCATTTGATACAATGCCTTATACATCTTCGAGACGTCTCAAAGCGTTTCACAGAATATGTGGTAAAGTGACTTGACTTCATATTTTGTGGGCGAACCTTGGCAGCCAATTGCACACAGCAGTGTCCCACAAACAGTCGTGGATTGGGTAACCAAATTATTATTTGTCTGTCTGTCTGTCTGTCTGTCTATGTGTCTATCTGTTTGTTTGTTTGTTTATTTATTTATTTATTTATTTATTTGAAGGGATTATTATCCCGGAAAAGCGATCCACTAATCAACTAACAACCGGATTCCGACTTACTGCTAGGTAAACAGAGGCATGTGGAGTAAGGAAATTTGCCTAATGTTTCGCACTGCCCAGGAATCAAACCCAGGTCCTTTCACATGGGAGGCGAGTGCTCTAACCAATACGCTTTAAGACTCCATTCTTGATACAAAAGTGCAAGGTGTTCCTTTTCCCCAGGTTCTAACATCTAGGACAATCCTGTTAAGCAGAGGGGAGAGAGAAAGGAGTTGGCGTTTACAGGGCAAAAGCATGTTTGTATTATGAGAGGCTTATTGCAACATTCCAGCAAACCAAGGGTTATTTCTACCTTTGCTGCTTCATAGGACAATTTGGAATTCCGACTGCACCTCCGATATGAGTTTCTGATGCTGGGCATTCAACCTGTGATTGATAAGCTTCGCAGCCATGAAAATGCAACATTAGACAGGTAAATGAGCCCTTTTCAAACCACGAATGAGTGAGTGCAACTTGGAAACCACCAGTACCTTCAACTCTTTGCCCTCTATATCATAGAATCATAGAATTATAGAATCGTAGAATTATAGAATCGTAGAATTATACAGCACAGAAGGAGGCCATTGGCCCCATCGTGTCTGTGCCGGCTCTTTGAAAAGAGCTATCCAAATCAATCCCACTCCCCCACTCTATCCCCATAGCCCTGCAAACTTGTCCTCCCTAAATAATTATCTACTTCACTCTTAAAAGTTGCTATCAAATTGGCTTCCACCACCCTTTCAGGCAACACATTCTAGATCCGAACAACGCGCTGTGTAAAAACATTTCTCCTCACCTCTCCTCTGTTTCTTTTAACAACTATGTTAAATCGGTGTCCTCAGGTTACCGGCCCACCCTCCAGTGGAAATAGTTTCTCCTTGTTCACCCTATCAAATCCCCTCATAATTTTGAAAACTTCTATTAAGTTTCCTTTTAACCTTCTCTGCTCCAAGGAGAATAATCCCAGCTTCTCTAGCCTCTCCTGATAACTGAAGTCCCTCATTCCTGGTGCCATCCTGGTAAATCTCCTTTGCACCCTCTCCAATGCCTTGACATCCTTCCTAAAGTATGATGCCCAGAACTGAACACAGCACTCTAGCTGAGGCTTAACCAGTGTTTTATAAAAGTGTATACATCTGCGGGGACATAGTGTTTCAGGTGGTTCCCAAGCGCAGAGTATCTACAGCTTGGCTCAGTGTTGCTTATCTCTGCTCTCTCCCTCTTAGCATCTCCAGTGTTACACTGGTAGCTACCCATGCTGAATGATTAGGGGCTCCCACCCTCATCTCCAGTGCCCAGCCAGAATTGTCAAGCACTTTAGGATATCCTTCTGACATGAAACGAGCTATATAAGTGTAAAATTGTATTGGATGGAGAAAACTATGAAGGAATAAAATTAAAAGATCTGCCATGGTCAAATAAATTGTCAAAGCAGGATCAAGAAGCTTTGCCCCCGTTTTTATAATCGGGATAGTGAGCAGTGAAGCACAGTGAACTTTCTGATTCTCTCTGTGTACTATATTTCATAGAATCATAGAAGATTTATAGTATAAAGAATGATTTCCCATTGATTAATCTATTTGAAAGTTTAAATTATTTTCTCTCCACCCTCCCTTTTTAGTTCACTGCTCCTCAGACCCCACCCAGTAGAGCTGAACAACATGGCTTTTCCCAATTTTCTGCCTTTGCCATTTCCGAGCTGCCCATAGTGCAGGACGTTCCACATCCTCAACCTCTTGGGGGAAAAAGGTGGCATCATGTGCTTTATTTAATGTCGCCTAAATGCGAAATGTTGTGATGTAATGGTTGTCAACATTGCTCAGTGAACTGGAGGATGTGCAAAAAGCATCCATCCAGTGTGAGTTATGTAAATGAGGTTGTCAAAGTGGCCATGAAACAGCTTTTGGGACAGAGCTTTGGCTGACTTCACAAGATCCGAAGGCTTCATTTCGCCAATCAATTTCTTCAATTGAGTCTTAAGAAAACTTACCTATCTTTGCCTTTAGGCACTTAGACTTCTTTGAGATGGTCAGGAACGATGATGAGAACGAACTCGCAAAAAAGTTTGATGCGGTGAGTACCGATGTCTGTAACACTGAATGTGTAATTCGGAACAGAAGAGATGGGATTTGGCTTGTGTAGGACTTTCATTATACAGTATTCTCTTTATAACACGATTCACTTTGGTTTGGATACTCTAAAGCATGGTAATGGGTTTCCGCATGTGTCTGACACCTGGCTGACCAAAAAACAAGTAACACCCTGGCTCCAGGTATCTGGAATTTGAATCTAGCTGGAATGGTCCTGAATCTGAGACTTCGAATTAGATTGCTTGAATCCCACGAGTAGAAGATATCTTGTTCGCGCATAAAGAAAAGCAATGCTGAAGAATGCCAGTAAATGCCGGTACCAGCATTGTAATTACACGTTGCCAGAATTTCTGGCTTGCCAGAGCAGATTCCACCCCCCATCATTTGTCTGGCTAGATGGGGTTCATCTGTAATGCGGGTGCCTGTGGATGTGTGGCTGGCTTTCCTAACATTAATAAATTTCTGATGTCCAGATGATCAGGTCACCTCTACGCAGCACTAACAGAGGAACAAACACAGGCAATTTGGCCCACAGTGCCCATTATTGCTCTTTGAAAGAGCAATTCATTCAGTGATTTTATTCAATTCATTCATTTACTATTCAGCGCTTTGGGACGTCATCCTGATTGAAAGGCGCTACACAAATGCAATTTGGTGTTGTTGCTTTGACCATCAGTCCAGCAGTACATTCCACATCCTTTTCATAGAAAAAATCCTCCTTTGATAATTATTGTAAATGAATGCCCTCGACTTACAAACTCACCTACAGGTGAAAGTAATTTATCCCTGTCTACTCTATCAAACCCCTCATCATTTTAAAGATTTTTATTAGGTGAAAGTAGACCCAGTTCCTTTAGTGTCTGCTCATAAGTCAAACCATTTGTCTCAGCATTCCTGAATATTTATCCCACCTCTTTACATTACAGCATCAAAATGTTTCTTAAATGAATCTAGTCTACTGGCCTTAACCATCCTCGCTGGTAACCTATTGGGCAGTTGATTCCCCTCTAAATATGTCCTGTTTTTGTCTTCAACATCCTATTTGCACACCTTGAACACACCCTCTTACCTCTTACCCTGCTGCCTTAGGGTATCTGAAACAAATGTTCTGGGTTGACTTTTATTGAAGGATGGAAGCTTTACTCTCAGTTATCAGTTTGTGCTGTGCTGCCTGTCTTAGGTAATACCTCTGCTAGACGCTGAAGTTTCCAGTAGGAGGTAGGGCTGTTGCAACAGTCGCTGGGATCTGATGGTAGTTAGTTATTTTGAGGTGAGTGATGCTTCCAAACATCAATTTTTCAAGTCATAGAATCATAGAATATTACACCACAGAAGGAGGCCATTCAGCCCATTGGCTCTTTGGAAGAGCTACTCAATCAGTCCCACTCTCCTGCTCTTTCCCCATATCCTTGAAATGTTTTCCTTTTTAAGTATCTATCCAATTCCCTTTTGAAAGCTGTTATTGAATCTGTTTCCATCTCCCTTTCAGGCAGTGCAGTCATCAGGCCTACACCCCTTTATCCTAATGGTAGTGGAGTAATGGAAGACATTATACTCCTGCCATCTCTCTGTTTATCTGACAGTTTCAGTAACCAGTGAACTCGTTGTTAAAGAGGGTGCACCCCAATCAGCATCATTGGTGATACAAGTCCTAACATTATGTTATCTGCAGCAACAATCTTCCAAATAAAACATTATTATTTTGTGGGTTGATCTCAGTAAATTGGGACTACAATTGGCTTCAATGTTCCTGGATTTGGGAAAGGAAAGTCAGTCACGGTTCCGGTATTCATCGCTAGAGACCCCTTCTCCCTTTACTGTACCACTGCCTCGTGTGTGTGAATGTCAGGTAAGCATAAGATCTGTATATAAACCATCTGATTCCTTTGATTCGAAGGCAGCCTCGAATGTAGTCCCTCCTGGGGATCCATTATTCTCTATATAAACCACTCTGATCCTCTCAATTAAATTCCAGTCTATAAACACAATCCCACATCTCTTCGTGGCAAGAAACAATACATTTCAAGACAAAATGGTCTGAAGAGGCTAAGACCAGGTGGAACTTTTGGGATTCTGAAGCAAATGTTGTATATCATGTTCCATCAGGAATGCTGCCCACTTCGAGGTACTGAATTCTGATTTCCCCACTTTCCAGGTGCACATTGACACAAAGAGCACAAGCCAGATGTTTGATCTGATTCGGAGAAAGCTGAGTCACACAGACGCCTACCCGCATCTGGTCTCTATCCTACAACACTGCCTCCAGATGCCATGTAAGTATATTTGGACAACAAAACGTTGGGCAAGTTTCCTTACTTCACATGCCTCTGTTAACCTTGCAGTAAATAGGAACCGATTGTTAGTCAATTCACGGATAGCTTTTCCGGGGTTAGTAATTCATGACTGTTTATGGGACTTGCAAGGATTATTATTAATATTATTATGATCTTTATTGTCAATGTCACCACACAAAACCGGGTCCTCAGATGTTTCGGGGATAACTGCCAACTACCGATCGTTCCACCACAGTTCAGCTGTCTCCTCCACCCCCCCCCCATCCAGTCTCTCCTGAAGTTGCTTGAATTATTTTCAGTTCTGGTTTCTCGTTGAGGGAAATGATTTTGTCCTGCCAGTTAAGTTCTCTTTCAAGGAATACTCCAAGGAGCACTTTTCAATTTCAATAAATATGATACGCACTTAACAGATGTGTCTTTGAGAGAAATCTTTGCCAGAAATGCAACATAACTCAAGAGTTTCCTGCGCCCCCTCCTTCCCTTCAAGAGCATTAAATTCCTCTTTTATCTTCAGCCATCAGTCCCTACTGCTCCCAGTTGCCCCTTCCATAATATCACTTTGAATCGACACTCAAGTTTTGTATGGTTGACTTATTTTCCTTTCGTCCCCGTTTCTGTGTGTGTGTGGGGGTGGGGGGGGGGGGTTGGGGTGGGAATGATCAGGTACCAGTCTCACACTGAGCCAGGGGGAAGTACCAGACCTGTTGGTGCTCAATGATATCCCTCTTTGGTGGTGCAGCTTTGGTGCCAATTTACCCCTCTCCATCACTTTAATTTAAAACAAAACACTCTGCAAGGAGCCTGATAGTTTGGAATCTCCTCTGGCAACAAGCTCTGGAACAGCAGCTTAGGACCAAGGCATGTTGTCTTAAGCCCTCAGCTGCACAAGGCCTGAAGTGTCGAAGCAACAAGTAAAGGGGAATCTCTGGAGAGAGAATGGTGGAGGAAGAAGTCTGTGCATTAAAGTAGCTCAAACCCTTAAAGAATAAAGCTCAAAGTGCCGTTCTCCATCTCGTTGGCCTCCAGGTGTTGCTTTGCTTCCCATCTTTTTTCAGCCATTGATTTGGGATTCACAGGCCATGAATTTCATGGTGAATTTCTTGACCAGAAGGTCACAATTGGCTGCCACGTTTCGCCCACAAAATGCACAGTCACTATACTTTACAATATATCGTGTGAAGCGCTTTGAGATGTCTCAACAGCATGATGAAGTGCTACGTCAAATGCAAGGATTAGTGCCATTGTTATGATTAACACAGCGAATACAATTGGCAACGAGATGTCAGCAACGAGATGCCATTTGTGGGGTTTGTGCAGTTCTGACAATGCCCTCTCTGCAGGGAAGAGGAATGGGACCAATTGCCAGTACTGGCAGCTCCTGGACAGGATACTGCAGCAGGTGGTGCTGCAGGACGAAAAGGGAGATGATCCTGACGTCACCCCGTTGGAGAACTTCAACGTAAAGAACATTATTCGGATGTAAGTTATACACCATAGGGAACCAAGTATGAGGTATGATCTGAGCCTCACTCAAGCCTGATATCTCACCTAGTCTTGGCCTGTGAGACAATTTTGTCTTCAAATTTAAGATGGTGTAGAATCGTAGAAAATTCTTAAGTTCAGCCTTAGTTTGAAAGTCTTTCTAAAGCCGACCGGGTCTGACTGTGTCTCGACCTGGACTAACCATTGACTGACCAGGGCTAACCAGCACTAACAGGGCTAACTGGTGCTGACCAGAAATAATGAAGAGTTACCAGGACTGAGCAGGAATTACTAGCACTAATTGGGAATAACCAGGGCTAGTTAGACAAGACCAATACTGACTGACTGACTGGGACGGCTTGAATGGTACTTCAGTGGAAGTTGTCATCTGTTTTGAAGGGAAGAAATACACAGAATCGAGAGGAAAATAAACTTGCAGCAAAAATATTTGAGAGATACTTGATGTTTCCAAAGTCAGCTAGAAATTAGAGAAGATTGACACAGGGCTATTGTATTGATTCATTAACAGACTAACAGTCAATGTGAACCTCTCGCCCTCGGCAGGTTAGTGAATGAGAACGAGGTGAAGCAGTGGAAGGATCAAGCAGAGAGGTTCAGGAAAGGTAGGTTTTTATCCTGATCACAAGCAGGGAGTTGCTACTCCACCTCAGGCAGCTGCTGTCAGGAATGTTGCTGTATGCTGTATACTTCCAGTGATCCCAGCGCTGTGTTCTGGGTACTCTCTGTGCTCCCAGCAAGGCATGCGCCCAGCAAGGCATGCTTCCTATGCTCCCAGTGCTCTCCGCTTCTAGCACTCTGCACTGCCTGCGCCCCCAGCGCTGCCAGCGCCCAGTGCTGCGTGCTGCCAGCGCCCAGTGCTGTATGCTCCCAGTGCTGTCTTCTTCCAGTGCTTTGTGCTTCCAGTGCTCCTTGGGCTTCCTGTGCTCCCAGTGCTGCGTGCCCCCACCCAGTGCTGCGTGCCCCCACCCAGCGCTGCGTGCCCCCACCCGGCGCTGCGTGCCCCCACCCGGCGCTCCCAGTGCCCCCACCCGGCGCTCCCAGTGCCCCCACCCGGCGCTCCCAGTGCCCCCACCCGGCGCTCCCAGTGCCCCCACCCGGCGCTCCCAGCGCCCCCACCCGGCGCTCCCAGCCCCCCACCCGGCGCTCCCAGCGCCCCCACCCGGCGCTCCCAGCGCCCCCACCCGGCGCTCCCAGCGCCCCCACCCGGCGCTCCCAGCGCCCCCACCCGGCGCTCCCAGCGCCCCCACCCGGCGCTCCCAGCGCCCCCACCCGGCGCTCCCAGCGCCCCCACCCGGCGCTCCCAGCGCCCCCACCCGGCGCTCCCAGCGCCCCCACCCGGCGCTCCCAGTGCCCCCACCCGGCGCTCCCAGTGCCCCCACCCGGCGCTCCCAGTGCCCCCACCCGGCGCTCCCAGTGCCCCCACCCGGCGCTCCCAGTGCCCCCACCCGGCGCTCCCAGTACCTCCACCCGACGCTCCCAGTGCCCCCACCCGGTGCTCCCAGTGCCCCCACCCGGCGCTCCCAGTGCCCCGTGCTGTGAGTTCCATCCCTGCTGAGAATGATTGTTTTGTGACTTGGACCGCATAATTGAGAGAGATATCGCAATGAGCAGCAAACAACAACAAGATAACAATTTATGTAATTGATTTTATGGACATTCTGCTATGCTCAGAACACGCAGAATTACTGGGCAGACTGGAAAAGAAGGAGCGAGAGTGTGAAACCAAAACGCAGGAGAAGGACGACATGATGAAAACTCTCAACAAAATGAAGGACAAACTCCAGAAAGAGTCCATTGATCTGCGACAAGCAAGAGATCAAGTGGTGGAGCTCAGTACACGACTCCATGACCTAGCAGCCTCTGTAAGTCCTCTCTCACCAAACCTGACACTGGTGGTTAAATGGGAGATAGTGGAACTGTGTTCCTTGAACATCTTCAAGGCTGAGACTGATAGATTTTTAAAAAAACAGAGGAATATGGGGATAGGGCAGGTAATTAGAGTTAGGTCTGAAGATCAGCCATGATCTTATCGAATGGCGGGGCAGACTCGAGGGGCTTAATGGCCTACTCCTGCTCCTAATTCTTATGTTCTTATGTGTCTGTTTAAGGGGAAAGTAAAGGGGAAAGTCTGTATACAAGGAATTAGATACAGAATTGAAGAAAGATAATATTAAAAGATGAGGCCGGCCAGTCACACCAGATATTAAAGGTATTAAACGTTTTGTGTAAATTATATGTGGAGTCCTGTAGCTCAGTGGTAAAGACCCGGGTTTGATTCCCAGACAGGACCTTAGGCAAGCTTTCTAACTCCACACGCCTCTGTTTACCTAGCGAGTAAGTAGTAACCTAGTTATTAATTGATTGGTGGATCACTTTACCAGGGATAATAATTCTTTTCAAAAAAAATTTTGGCACTGAATCCACGACTGCTTGTGGGAAAACTACTGTGCGCAATTGGCTGCCGTGTTTCACCCACAAAAGTACAGTTAATTCACTTTACAATATATTCTGTGAAGCGCTTTGAAACGTCTCAGACGTGATAAGACACTATATCAAATGCAAATATTATTATATGTACAGCAGAATTACAGATGAAAAATAAATTATTATCAATTGATCAGTCCAGAGTGCACAATGTGTTACTAAGATATAGAGTTCTTTATCAGTAAAAACCCTTTGTTTTTCTCTTTTGTTGTAAATATCTGTTGAGCTGTATCAGCCTCGCTCAGGGTGTCAGCCTGGCTCACTTGAGCATAGTGATGGGTTTCCGCATGTGTCAGAAACAAAATTGGTAGCAATGTTGCCTCTGAGTCAGAAGATTGTGGGTTCAAGCTACGTTGATACTTGAAACTCTAAGCTTACATTCCATTCCATTCACGATTCGAACCCCTTCAGTCGGGTTTCCGTGCTGCCCATAGCACAGAAACTGCCCTGGTCAAGGTCACCAATGACATCCTGACCATCTGTGACCAGGGCTCCCTCTGCCTCCTCGTCCTCCTCGACCTATCGGCAGCATTCGATACGGTCGCCCATGCTATCCTCCTCCACCGCTTGTCCTCCCACCTAAACCTTCAAGGCCCTGTCCTTGAGTGGTTTAGGTCGTACCTCTCCCACCGTCTTCATTTTGTCTCCACAAATGGCTTTTCCTCCAGCCCCCGCACTGTCTTGTGCGATGTCCCTCAAGGCTCTGTCCTCGGTCCCCTCTTCTTCACCCTCTGCATGCTCCCCCTCGGTGACATCATCCGCAGACATGGGGTTAACTTCCACATGTATGCGGATGACACCCAACTCTACCTTTCCTCCTCTACCCTCAACTCCACGACCACCGATGTCCTGACAGCTGCCTGTCCGACATCGAGTCCTGGACGAGAGATAACTTTCTCCAGCTCAACGTGCGCAAAACTGAGGCCCTCCTGATTGGCTCACGTCAGCGCCTCCGCACCTCAGGTGCTGACAGCATCAGCATCCAAGGCTGCACTCTCCACCTCTCAAAGCCAGTCAGGAACCTCGGGGTTTTGTTCGACCCTGAGCTGTCCTTTCTCCCTCATATCCGCACAACCGGCACCGCCTTCCATCACCTCCGGAGTGTCGCCAGACTACGGCACTACCTCACCCCTCACGCTGCTGAAACTCTGGTCCACGCCTTTATCACCTCAAGGCTGGACTATGGGAACTCTCTCCTCGCCGGCCTTCCCGCCACCTCCCTCCACAAGCTGCAGGTCATTCAGAACTCTGCAGCTCGTGTACTGTCCCGCACCAGGCTTCGGGACCACATCACTCCCACCCTCGCTCGCCTCCACTGGCTCCCCATCCCCCAGAGGATCGAATTCAAGATCCTCATCCTCACCTACAAGGCCATTCACAGCCTTGCTCTCTCCGACCTACTATCCCCCTACCTACCTGCCCGTACCCTCCGTTCCTCTGGCTCCGGTCTGCTCCACACCCCCCGCCCCAACCGCCCTACCATCGGTGGCCGGGCCTTCAGCCTCTCAGCCCCTAGGCTCTGGAACTCTATCCCCCAGTGCCTTCGCCTTGCCTCCTCCCTTTCCTCCTTCAAGGCGGTCTCAAGACCTTTCTCTTTGACCGTGCCTTCAGCTCCCCTCTCGACTCTCTACCCCTTCCTCGCTCCCTCCCTTCCCTCCTCTCACCCTGACCATTTCCCCCCTGCTGGGGTCCTGACCCAACTGTACAGCGCCTTGGGACGTCCTCCCAGACGTGAAAGGCACTCAATAAATGGAATCTTGTTGTTGTTGTTGTTGTACATGGCAATGCAGTGCTGGGGGTGTCCTGGAGATGAGACGTTGTTGGAAAGGTGTCTTTAGGATTACATTGAACCGAGTTCGTTATTTGACTATGCAGGTGGACATTAAACATCCCGTGACATTGTTAGAAAAGACAAGGGAGTTTCTCCTGGTACCCTGGTCAACAATGCTCCAAATAAAATTGGTCATTCACTTCATGGCTATTAGGAGGATTGCTGTGTGTAAATTCACTGCACATTCTCCTACAAATATACTCACTTCACTTTAGAGTATACTCGGTGAAGTGCTTTGAGGCATCCTCTTGACAGGGTTGATTCTTATTAATCACTTCATGGCTGTTTGTGAGCCATTGCTATGCACAAATTAACTACCACATTTGCCTACAAAACACACATTCCATTTTATTGTGATGAAATGCATTTGAGATGTGCTCCCGATGGGAAAAGGACAAGATCAAATGTAAGAATTACTCTTCTGTATGCTTATTCACTCACTCCCTGTTTCCTCTTTTCCAGAATGGTGGCAACTTCTCTTTCCTTCCCCTGCCACACCCAGGAGGACCCTTCCCACCCCCACCCCCTCCTCTAATGCTGGGAGACCTGCCTCCACCGCCTCCCCCTCTGCCCTATATCTTCGCACCTCCTCCTCCCCCACCTCCTCCCCCAGGCGGCCCCCCTCCCCCCCCTGGGGCACCCCCCTACTTTAACTGCGGAATACCACCGCCCCCATGTTCTCTAAACCAGAATATCCGAAAAAAAGCCATTCCACAACCATCTCACCCTCTGAAGTCCTTCAACTGGCACAAGTTAGCTGAGGTAACAGTTTCTCAAACATTGGGATAAGGTTTGCTATGATTTTAAACAATGTCCTCATTAACTATTATCCACTAGGTGCCAGCACACACATCCAGGTAAGTTGTTTGTTTTGTCAATTACAAGCTTTACAGGCTTATAATTTATAAGTCTCAATCTACAACTGTTTGTGGGCCACTGCTGTGCGTAATTGACTGCCGTGTTTCGTCCACAAAATACTGCACTTTACAGGGTATCCTATGAAGTGCTTTGAGCCATCTCTAGAAGCTTTTTTTTATATATTATCCCGATTTAACCTGCTGAGCTGGAGCAACATTTGCATGATAAGCTGTTTTATCTTGTACTGAACAGAAAAGCCAGAGTACACGGCCTGCGATTGAAGGGGATAAATTCAGAACAAATCTGCAGAAACACTACTTCAGTGAGTGAGTAGTAAACTTATGGAACAGGCTCCCTAGAGAGACGGTAGAAGCATAAAATGTTGTTTGTTTCAAGAACAAATGAGATACATTTCTGCTAGAAAATAATATCTCGGGAACAGTATATAGTTTAGGACACAACATGTCAAGCGACTGCCAAGAGGAAGGCAAACCACATGGACCTTGGTCTTTTTTTGCCTAGAAATTTTTTATGTTCTTATGTTCCTATTAGTACCGCATGTTTCATTGCATTCCACAGGTCCCCAGATCACAATCTGACCTGTAAATTCATTCCCTCCTGAAAGAAGGTGAAAAATACCTGGAAGAATGTGGACTAGAACTGAATGCAGTCTGATGCTCTGTGTCACAGACAATATGTGAAAACACCTCATCCCAGGCTGCTCAGGGGGGGCATGACAGGTTCTTTCTCACTCACGCTCATTGACACATCATCCCCAGCTTCAGCCGTAATGGAGGCAGATCTCAGAGATCATTGTTCTATGTGGGTGTTACAGTAATTGTAACCAATAGGAGCACTGTAACTGATCCCTGGTGTTAAAGGAACTAGCTATGAGGAAGGATTAAATAAGCATGGACACAGGTTATAGAGCTCTGGCTGGTCTGAAGTTTGTCTAGGCATAAGAGATGGAAAGCAGAATAGTCAAGCTTGGATGTGATGAAAGCATGATCGAAGGACTTACCGTTATTATCAGATATGTCAAAGCATTAGGACAAGAAGCATCAGGGTGTGAAGACAATTTTAGGAGAGACATTGGAAAGTGCATGTTTTTTACAGAGGATAATGACCAACTGGAGCTGGTTGACAGGAAGTGTGGGAGAGGGTGGGATTTAACAAACTGCTGTGATGTATTTTGTGATGGTAGGACATTGGACTGAAGGGTCTTTTTCAACCCAACTTCTCTTGTGACATACTAGGGACATGATGGTGCTGGGTCCTGCAGCCTGAACAACACTCCTCATCTTATCTCACTGAACAGAGTGTCCAGGTGCAATACATCGACCTTCACACAAAAATACAAATACTAAAGTAAAAAGTAAAATTTTGAAAAAAGCATGCAAATGGAAGAAAGTAAAGGGAGGCTGAGAGAAACAACAACAACAAACTACATTACACAGCGCCTTTCACGTCAGGAGAATGTCCCAAGGCGCTAGACCAGTCAGGGATTTGGACCTGATCAGAAGCAGTGGAGGGCAGGGGAGGGTGGGGCTATGAGGGTGGCCGAAAGCGTGGTCAAAGAAGAGGGTCTTGAGACATGCCTGGGAGGGAGCCAGGGAGGGAGCGAGGCAAAGGGACTGTGGGAAGGAGTTCCAGAGGGTGGGGGCAGAGAGGTTGAAGGCCCGACCACTGGTGTTGGGGCAGGCTGGGCGGGGGACGTGGAGCAGGCCAAGCCATAGATTTGTGCCAGACTCCATCAGCAAGCTATAAAAAGCAAACTGTAGCTCAGTGCTGTCAGAGATCTGGGGGAGGGAGTGGAGGCTGTCTACACCTTGCTCTCAGTTGATAGTGAGCCAGCTGTTCCTGGCCACAGCAAGCTGGCTACATTTCGACTATAATAGATGGTCGATCCCTTTCGGGACTATCATTTTAAAACCGGAGGAAACGCACCATTTTTCATTCCTTGGCAGTCACCATTTTGGGGGGGGTGGGGGAAGAGGGAGGTCAGTGAGTCCAACGAGTGGCTCTGAATTTCATCTGGTTACAGACCAACAACAGCAACAACAACTTGCACTTAAATAATGCCCTGCACGCTGGGTAGTATCTCAGAGCAATTAAATTATTTATTATAACTACACAGGAATCGAGCCTGACTCCGAGCCGGGAGGGGTGGGCGGAGGTGGCCGTAAACACGGTCAAGGAGGAAGGTTTTCAGGCGGGACTTGTAAAAGGGGAGAGGGGGGATCAGCAGCCTTCCTGAAGTGCCGGATTTCTCATCGCTGCTGGCAGACATATTACCCACAGCATCCACAGCTCAGTGCCTCGCAAGCGAGAGGACATGGGTTCGAATCCCGAGCAGGGTGAAATGTTGGTCAAGTTTCCTTACTCCACACGCCACTGTTTACCTAGCAATAAGTAGGAACTCGGTTGTTAGTCGATTGGTGGATCGCTTTTCCAGGGGTTAGGGTTAGGTTTTTTCCTTAAAAAAACATGGTAACTCAATCCACGACTGTTTGTGGGGATGCTGCTGTGTGCAACTGCCTGCCGCGTTTCGCCCACAAAATATATAGTCAATTCACTTTATATATAAAGTATATTCGGTATATTCTATGAAGCCCTTTGAAATGTCTCGATGGCATGATAAGGTGCTTTATTATTAGTAGTAGTAATATTATTATTAGCATTCCTCTCCCATTCAAATTTCCTCGCTCCTTGAGTTGTGTAGAACAATGACACTGATTACCTGAATAACTCAATTAGATCTTATTGTGCCTGAGGGTCACCAAACAACCCCATCATGGGGGTGATAATAAAGAAGGCAATGGTTTGAAGATACTCTAGCTTTGGGCCAAATCATTGTCTCAAAGTCTGGGGGTTGGGAGGGGGGAGATCGTGGAATTAACTCCCAAACCTCTCACTGCCTGAAGTCTTTAGCAATGTAATAATTATCACCTTGATCACCCCACCCAGCAGGAGCTTTCCTAACATCCTAGCCTCTACTCTCGGTGAAGAGGACTCGCCACTCGGAGATAGCGACTGGGGGGATCTAAAGCAGAATTTAGAAAGAACCATTTCATTCATAGAGCAATGAGATTGTGGAAATCGCTGCCTGAAGCGGTGGTTGAATCAGACGGTATAGATTGATTCAAGAGGAAGATAGAGCTTCAAATGAGTGAGAAGGGAATAGAAGATTATGAGAGGCAGCAAGGAATCAATGAAGACTCGTATAGAATATAAACACCAGAGGGGACAGGTTGGGCCAAGTGGCTTGTTTCTAAGCTGTACATTTTTTGTAAAGAGAGAGAGAAACAATCAGGGTGTCCCTTCACCATCTCCCTCATGACATTCCTCAAACAACCCTCGGATACCAATAAGAATCAATAACTTCAAGGCCCACAATTGAGCCCACCACCCCATTGAATGGCCCAGTATTAGATGGTCAATGTAGCACACAAGGTTAGTCCATCAATAGCACAATATCTTCTACAAACAGTAGCAGTACCTCAGACACACTCATCAAGTCTGTCCCTCTTGATACCATCTAATACATAAACCCTTGCACGGATCTTGTTGCTAGAGTACACATTCTGGATAAAATCTAAAACTTGGCCATGTTCTCCCACAGCTTTCAGCTTCTTCATGACAACATTAGGTCATAATCCCCCAAATAAAATGTTCATTCACCTCATAGCTGTTTGTGGGATGTTGAGGGGCACAAATTAGCCGCCCTATTTACCGACAAAATATAGACTTTACCACTTTGATGTTCTCCCAATGTGAAAGGTGTTACATCAAATGTAAATGTATTTAAGTCAAAGTCCTTTCAGAAATCAACAAACCCAAGTTCCCCAGCTAAGTTCAGTTACTCAAATAATATAATTTTAAAAATGTGGTCACTGAATTCCAAGACTGTTTGTGGGACACCGAAGTGTGCAATTGGCTGCCGCATTTCACCCACAAAATGCACAGTCACTACAATTTACAGTATATTCTGTGAAGCGATTTGAGACGACTCAAAGATGTGATAAAGCGCTATATCAAATGTAAGGATTATTATTTATTATAGCTACACAGAATTCGAGCCAGAGATCTTCAGGATCTGTATGTCTTAGCTACTCCCTTGATAATCTCCTGCAGCCATCAGAAAACTTGGACAGCAGGGAGCCTGAAGAATCCCATTATAAGTACACAGTGTCATTGTTGCCACTCTTAGAAGAAAGAGGAAGCTCAGGATTGTAACTTTGGGCTGAAGTGCTAAATGAATGGCAATGTGACAGAGAGTTACAATGGACTATTTTTATCAGTAATGTATAAAAATTCTAATCCAAGCATAACATTTGCCTTGGCAGGTAGTGATGCATTTATCAGGATTTAAGTGTGCAGTTCTCTCCAGTAGTTTTAGTGGTTTGATCTGACAACCAACAGTAACACTGTTGAGGCAAAAAAAGTACCTTTAACGTGTCTCAAGAAAAAGACTTTTAAGGAATAAAAACGTGGAAATGACCCATCCTACTGAGGTCATTCATTTTAAAATGATTTATGAGAAACTGGGTGACATAATGAGATAGAACAGTGTCTCTCAATGAGCGGTCTATGACCTGAGACCAGACTATGATAACCTCAAGGCCAGTCCACACCAGATGTCTCGCTTGTTTGAATGACCTAACTGACTCATTTACCAATGATCTGCCACCATTTTAAGAAGAAACTGAGCTGCTTTCTGACATCCAAAAGGTTGAGAAGTACTAGGTTAGCGCACTGTCCTTTCACTTCTTAAGACTTGGGTTTGAATTAAGCTCAGCTTGACATCGTGATGGAATCTCCTCTTTGTGTTGGTTGTAAGAATCATGCAGACAAATGTCACATTGATGTGGGGAGTGGGGGGCTGACTACCAAGGTTGGAATTCAGCTGACCTGGGATGGAACCTGGTCTGAATGTTCTCTAAGCTACTTGCTGAATATAAACACACACATTGTTGGGCAAAAGTAGCAGTTTCAATAAATACATATTCTTTAAAACAGCATCTGAAAGTCTAAACGCTGGGTCAAATGTCTCACTCAATTGGAATTCAAGATAGCAGCACTGAATATTTGTCAGTCGGCTTTGGGGCGAGCATTATTCAGATATTGAGGGCACGGAGATTTCCTAACACATATTAACCTCATTCCCAAAATAAGGAATGGAATGTGTTTAACAACATTGCAGTTTTGGTCCTTATGTTATGATTCTCACTGTCCAGACAGACACATGACCAGTGGCCATTTGGATGAGGTACCAAAGAGAGTGCAGGACACAGCCCAAATGAAGGAGTCCTGTAGCTCAGTGGTTAGAGCACTCGTTTTGCAAGTGAGAGACCCGAGTTCAATTCTAGGCAGGGCGAAACCTTGAGCAAGTTTCCTTACTCCACACAGAGCCTAATAATAATCCCTCCAAAACCAAAAACAATAATAAATTGGTCATTTTCAATCTACGACTGTTTGTGGGACATTGCTGTGCGTAATTGGCTGCCACCTTCGCCCTCAAATATACAGTCAATTCACTTTACAGTGTGTTCTGTGAAGCGCTTTGGGACGTCCTCCCGACGTGAAAAGCGCTATATCAAATGTAAGGATTATTATTATTATAAGGGTCTTTAGCAGAGTAGCGGGAAAAGCAGAGGGAAAAAAATCTCCTTTGTGTTTTAACCAATTTTAAAACTCTGGTTAGGAATTCTGTCAGCAAGGTTTGCCAAGCCTCTGCTATACATCATTGAGAGAAGTCACATTATCGTTACAGACATTGTTTTACTAGAGCCCTGACTTGAGCCAGGTTCACAATCTCAGTACCCTTCAGATGTTTGTCATGTCCATGTCTTAATCATACCTCATGCTCTGAATTCTTACAGAATAAGATTGGGGACACTGTCTGGACTGAGATTGATGATGTTCGAGCCTTCAATGTGCTGGACCTGGAAGACTTCGAGAAGATGTTCTCAGCGTACCAAAGGCAACAGGTGAGGTCCCTTCAACTTGTATGAAAACCCAAATAATTGAACACAAGTTGCATTCACTGGGTGGGAGCAAGATTCAATACATCAAGAATCAGTAAAGATTAAACAAATGACATTTGTCAGGCATTCAAACAGGTCTCTGAGATCCCCTAGATTTATCTCCCCCACCACCATTTTGGCTATTAAATCCAACCTCTTGTGGTATGCCACTTGAGTAAAGCAATTTTATTTACCTGATTTGCAGAGATGGGGTGTGGCTGTTGTACGTCATACATCGACAGTAAAATATCATGATGACCCTCATTATCCAGATTTGTGCATAAAGAATGCCTGCCAAGGGTAACTCATCCTTTACAATTGTACTTCTGGACAAGTCCAGAGGAGAAGGGGCATGTTTAAACAATAAATCATTTGATCAAATAGCACAGCAAGGATCTTGCCACCAAAAATCCAGGGCAACTTTTTTTAAACATCCCTGATAAGATTGTAATGTACATGTTCTGCCCTCGAGTGGAGAGTGAAATTACAGCTTGAAACACAATTTCAGGCATCTTCTGTAAAATGTCCCATATAAGGCAGAGAACTCTTCTCATTACATATGTATGTAAGTGTGTGTGTGTATATATATATATACAGAAAGAAAGATGGTCACAGGTCCTTAATTGGGCTTTAAGTGGCTGGCTGCCCGGTTGTTAATCTAAGTCTGTCATTGCATTTTTACGTACTGTTTATGACCCAGTGCAAAATGTACTCAGATAGTTCATCATCCTGACAGCTGGCTCGCCGGCTCCATTTTTTGAATAGCGATCATTCAACAATTGCACAACAGCAGGCTGCACTTTCTGTTTTTCTTTGGACAAGCAGAGGTTAAGTCTCAGGATTCTTTAAAATGTGGAAGTTCAAAGGTCTCATTTTCTAAAAAAAAATTAAATCCACAAATATTGGCTCTTGAGAGGCACTGGGTCTGCCTGGCCCCAATGCTGTTAGTGATTTCAAACTTAATGTTCATGACCTTGCTTGGAATAGTCTTCCTCTTTGAGTAGTCCTCTACTCCATCAATTAACAATGACAACATCTCTGCATGTGGATAGTGTCTATTTTGTGAGTGGTTTTCAGCCCAGTTGATTGCCTGATCACCTTGTTCAAGCTTGTGTGTGGCGCATTTTCTAACCTCTGGAAGTGAACTCCAACTTGTCTTCCATTAACACAACTTTTCTTGCCTTTCTCTATTTTTCAACACCAACAATTTTATTTATATAGTACCCTTCACACGGCATAGGATTTCTCTATTTCCTCAAGACTATCGAAGAGGGTGATTCTTCCAATTTTTACTCTCATGCTCCAATTGTTCTCTACTATAGATTTATCAAAAAGAATCACAGAATCATAGAATTTTTCAGGCCGAAAGATGGCCATTCATGTCTGTGTAAGATCATCCATTTAGTCCCACTCCTCTGACGTGGATTTCTGTTGGGGAAACATCAACCTGGCTGCTGTCTGGAGTCCCCTCGCTATAAATAAATGCCACTTGTGAACCTCCCAGGCAAGTAGCCTGCTTACACTCACAGTGGTCTAAATTGCAAAATTATTTACAAATAGTGAATGCCACATAGTTACTTTCCGTTCAGTGCTAACTCACTTTGGCATGTTTCATTTTTCCATGTTTCTTGGCTGGCTTGCCCTGCACAGGATGTGCTCACTAACCTCTTGAATCAGGTGAGTGGTTTGTTTACCAGTGAGTTATAACTACTTATCACCAGCCTCTAGTATTTGGTTTGAATTACATACAATTCAATAATATACAAATAGATGAACAGTATGGCTAACTAAATGTTCTTAACTATTTTTTCAAATGAAATTAACACATAGAAAGAGCTTGGCTCAACTGAGGATCTCTACCTCACGACCAGGAAAGTGAAAGAGCTGTCGGTGATTGATGGACGGAGAGCGCAAAACTGTGTAATTCTGCTGTCAAAGTAAGTATGAAACTTCAAGGAGCCACCTCAGCCTTCAAGTAACCAACTATAACATGCCTTTCACCCAAATGAACATCTCAAAGTGCATAAGACCAGTGCTCAGTGAGGTCGATGTCAGAATGAAGTATCTCCGAATGAGTTAAAAATATCCTTGACCCTTTGTATCACTGAATCTAATTAATGTAATGGACCATCCATTTAGTCCCACTCCCCTACCATGGATTTCTGTTGGGGAGACATCAATCTGTCTGCTGTCTGGTGACAATGTCTCTGGTGAATAATCAACATGTAATATCCTTGCATTTGAAGTTGCACTTATAATATTGAAACATCTAAAAGCAATTTACAAATAATAATAATAATCCTTGCATTTGATATAGCGCCTTTTATGTCTGATCCTATCCACACCTCACATCCACCAAAGTGCACTTTCCCAGCAGCAAAAGGGAATCCTGAGTAAGGGAAAAGGTAACAGAGGCTCCAACTTGATGGAAATTGATAAAAGTGTGCAGTGGGCCAAATAGCCTGTTTTTGTCCCAGACTTTCTTATCTTCTAATATTCTACTATTAGGTTAAAACTATCCAATGAAGAGATCAAGCAAGCTATTTTGCAAATGGATGAACAAGAGGACTTGGCCAAAGACATGCTGGAACAAGTAAGGATATCTACATCTCCCTCCCTTCTTACTCCTTCCCTTCTTCTATCTTCTCCCCTTCCCTGTCCTCCCTCCCTTCATCCCTCTGTATTCCCTCTCTCTATTATGTCTTTCACTTGCTTTTCCCTCCCTCGGTTTTCTTCCTTCCTTAGCCGTCCCTCTTAGTAGATCAAATGGCCTCATTGGGTACTGTGGGAGTCGATGGAGGGCGCCTTAAGTCCGGGTGACTTCATCTGCCGCAAGTGTCTGGAAATCAGGGAGCTTCAGCTGAGAGTAGCTGAGCTGGAAGCCCAGGTGCAAACACTGCGCTCCATCAGGGACAGTATGCTGGAGGAGACCCTCACTCCCCTAGGACTCAGTGATAGCAGCCCATCACTGTATAGGAATCATGAGAGAGGGGTACTGGAGCCATTGGGAGGTCAGAGTTCAGGAACAGCACCACTCCCAGAGGAGCCCAACACACAGCCACAAGCTAAAAGTGATTGGGTGACAGTGCGATGGGGAAAGAAGAGGGATTGTGCAAGGCAGAGCACCCCCAACAGAGTACCGGTCTCAAATCAGTACTCAGCATTAGCAATTGAGAGCGTGGAAACCTCCCATGAGGACAGCAGTGAACATTCTGTCCAACAGGACAGGGGCATGAATCACACGGGCAACACTGTTCTGATAGGGGATTCAACAGTGTGAGGCACTGACAGGATCTTCTGTCATAAGAATTGTGAGGCTAGGATGGTTTGCTGCCTTCCTGGTGCGAGGGTAGTGGACTTTACCCAGTGTGTGGACAAGATTCTTCAGGGGGAAGGAGAATGTCCAGAAGTCATGGTCCATGTCATAGTCATGATATTGGGAAGAAGAGGACTGAGATACTCCAGGGCGAGTATCAAAAGTTGGGGAACAAACTCAAGGCCAGAATATCCAAGGTGGTGATCTCTGGGTTACTCCCGGTGCCTCAGGCAACGGGGCACCATAATGAAAGGATCAGGTGTATGAACGACTGGCTGGAAAAATGGTCCAGAAAAGAAGGTTTCCGTTTTGTGGACAATTGGGACCACTACTGGGGGAGGTGGGATCATTACCTTGCGGATGGGCGGCACTTAAGCAAAGCAGGGGTTAGCTTCCTGGTCAAGAGATTATCGAATGCTGGGGGGGCTAATTTAAACTAGTGGCGAGGGGGGATGGGTATCCCAGGATAAAGAATAGATTAGGGAATAGAAGAAAAAGACAAGTGGGAAATATAGAGCAGGTACTTGTGGACAATTTCCTCAAATGCATGTACCTAAATGCACGTAGCTTAGGGAATAAGGTTGATGAGCTGCAGGTTCAACTGGCCGTAGGGGGTTAAGATGTGGTAGCAATAACTGAGACATGGCTCAAGCCAGGACAGGAATGGGAGATAAATATTCCAGGGTATAATGTGTTCAGGAAGGATAGAGAAGGAAGAAAGGGTGGAGGGGCGGCAATATTAGTTAACGATACAATTGTAGCTGTAGAAAGGGATGAGACTCTAGAGGGCCCGACAACAGCCGGGCCGAGCGCCCAGAGTGAGCTACGTCCGGAGTGAGGTGAGGCCAGAGTGTGAGGGAATTTGGTGAGAGTGGGAATTGCTGCTGTGAGTGTCGTGAAAACTGCAATCGTGAGTACATAACCCAATTTGTTGTTGTTGTTATTCAAGTCTTGTAGTAGTTGTTGTAGTTGTTTTAAGTCTTGTGTTATTTAAAATTGCTGATACCATTGGTACATTGGTCTTGTGGGGTAACTTTACAGGGAGCAGCTGTAGCCAATTAAGCTTAGCCAATAACAAATAACTTATTGATTAAATTAACTTATTGATTAATCACTTGATTAGGCGTTAATTCCAAATCACTGCTGAGCAAATCAGAAAGTATAAATAGGAGATAGCTGCGCGAGCCGAGAGCGCGCTACGTCCGGAGTGATGCGAGGCCAGAGTGTGAGGGAATTTGGTGAGAGCGGCAATTAGGTGCAGAGGGGGAAGTGGGGGCAGGCTATATATCTTTGTATCTGTATAAAGTTTTTGAAGATGGTGTGGCAGGTAAACTGTGAGGTCTGTCACATGTGGGAGTCAATGGAGGGCGCCTTAAGTCCGGGCGACTTCGTCTGCCGCAAGTGTCTGGAAATCAGAGCGCTCCAGCTGAGAGTAGCTGAGCTGGAGTCTCAGGTGGAGACGCTGCGCAGCATTAGGGATGGAGAAAACTTCCTGGGCAGCTTTATCCTGGAGCCGGACACTCCCCTGAGGACCAAGGAAGAATGTAGCAGCGACGGACATGACTGAGTGACAGTCAGGCGGGCAGGCAAACGTTCCCGAAAGAGAGGGGCTGAAGAATCCCAGACTTTAGCCTTGTCTGACAGGTATGAAATATTGGCAACCTGTGTGGACAAGGAAATCTGCGAGGAAGACGGGCAAACTGACCCCAACACCCCTGTGCAGGAGGTTAAAAATGTAATTCTTATTGGGGATGAGACAGTCAGGAGGACTGATACAGTTTTCTGTAGCCGTAGCAGGGAGACAAGAAGACTCTGTTGTCTTCCTGGGGCCAGGGTGAAGGATGTCACCGCCGGACTGGAGATAAATTTGAGGCATGAGGGAGAGGATCCAATTGTAATGGTACATACAGGGACCAATGACATTGGTAGGACCAGTAGGGACGAGTTAAGGAGCGAGTTCCGGGAATTGGGAATTAAACTAAGGAATAGAACTTCCAAAGTGATGATATCGGGACTGTTACCTGAGCCAGGAACTAATTGGTAAAAGAAGATCATAGATCTGAATGCCTGGCTAAAAGAGTGGTGCGGAGAGCAGGAATTCCAATTCATGGGCCACTGGCACGAGTATTGGGGAAGATGGGAGCTTTTCCAAAGGAATGGGCTCCACCTAAATAGGGCTGGGACAAATGTCCTGGCTACGCGAATAAATAGGGAGGTAGAAAGGGCTTTAAACTACTAAGGGGGGGGGGGGGGGAGTGGAAAAACATAGTAAAGTATAGTCCATTAAAGTTAAACTTGAGATCAACAAAAGCAAGAGAGCAGATTAACAAGGGAGAAGAGCAAAGTGTGTCAAGCAGGGAAAGGAAGTGGGGTGATAGAGTGCTGGTGAATAGGGTTAATAGCCGGAAGAAGGAATTAAGAGCGCTATATCTGAATGCACGAAGCATTCGTAACAAGATAGATGAATTAGTTGCACAAATAGAGACAAACCGGTATGATCTAGTAGCCATCACCGAGACATGGTTACAGGGTGATCAGGGATGGGAACTGAATATTCCCGGCTACGTGGTATATAGGAAAGATAGGCGATGTGGTAAACGAGGAGGGGGAGTGGCCCTGCTAATAAAGGATGGGATAAAAACAGTAGAGAGGAAAGATTTTAAATCTGAAAAGCAAGATGTAGAGTCAGTATGGGTAGAGATACGTAACTTCAAGGGGCAGAAAACTATAGTGGGAGTAGTTTATAGACCCCCAAACAGTGGTCAAAGTATCGCTCAAGGTATAAATCAAGAGATTAGTGGAGCATGTAGCAAAGGAAAGACACTAATTGTGGGTGATTTTAACCTGCACATAGACTGGGACAACCAAATTGGGAAAGGTAACATAGAAGAGGAGTTTATAGAATGTATTAGAGATAATTTTCTAGATCAATATGCTGAGGAGCCGACCAGGGAACAAGCCATATTAGACCTTGTTTTGTGTAATGAAACAGGGCTGATCAGCAAACTGGAACTTAAGGCTCCTCTAGGGCAAAGCGATCATAATATGATGGAATTTAGCGTTAAGTTAGAGAGGGAAGTAGTTAAGTCTGAAGCAAAAGTCTTCAATTTAAATCGAGCCAACTTTGCTGGTATGAGAGAGGATTTAGCCAGAATAAACTGGGAGACTAAACTTAAAGATTTGACGGTAGACCAGCAATGGCAGACATTCAAGGAGATAGTGCAAAATTCCCAACGAGCACATATTCCTTTGAGGAATAAGAATGCCATGGGAAAGGTGGTGCAGCCATGGCTAACTAGAGCAGTTAGGGAAAGTATCAAATCAAAAGAAAAAGCCTATAAAACAGCGAAGATGAGTAGTAAACCCGAGGATTGGGAGAACTTTAGGGAACAACAGAGGAGGACCAAAAAATTGATCAAGAGGGAGAAAATAGATTACGAGGGCAAACTAGCAAAGAACATAAAAACAGACTCCAAGAGTTTTTACAAATATATAAAGAGGAAAAGGCTAGCGAGGGTGAATGTGGGTCCATTACAGGCAGAGACCGGAGGAATTATAATAGGGGACAAAGACATGGCAGAGTCATTAAACAAGTATTTTTCTACAGTCTTCACCGTAGAAGACACTGGAAACATACCAAAAATAGAGGACCAAGAAGACAATGTTAGCGAGCAACTTAGGGAGATTAACATTAGTAAAGAGATGGTTCTAGGTAAATTGTCGGGTCTTAAAACCGATAAATCCCCTGGACCGGATGGCCTGCATCCGAGAGTTTTAAAGGAGGTGGCTACTGAGATAGTGGATGGCATGTCTATAATCTTCCAAAAGTCTGTGGATACTGGAAAAGTTCCCATTGATTGGAAGATTGCAAACGTAACTCCACTATTTAAGAAGGGTGGGAGAGAAAATAGGGAAAACTATAGACCAGTTAGTTTGACGTCAGTTGTAGGGAAAATTCTTGAGTCCTTAATAAAAGACGTAGTTATGGGATACCTGGAAGACCATAAAAAGATTAGGCAGAGTCAACATGGCTTTACAAAAGGGAAGTCATGCTTGACTAACCTTTTAGAATTTTTTGAGGATGTATCCAGCAGGTTGGATAAGGGGGAACCAGTAGATGTGGTATATTTGGATTTTAGGAAGGCATTTGACAAGGTGCCACACAAAAGGCTGTTACTCAAGATCAAGGCCCACGGGATTAATGGGAAAATATTAACATGGATAGAAGAGTGGCTATCGGGTAGAAAGCAGAGAGTAGTGATAAACGGATCATTCTCGAATTGGCAGGATGTAACTAGTGGAGTGCCACAAGGATCAGTGCTTGGGCCTCAGCTATTTACCATTTACATCAATGATCTGGACGAGGACATTGAATGTAATGTGTCTAAATTCGCGGATGATACTAAACTAGGTAGCAGAGTGAGCTCTCAGGATGATGCAAAAAGATTGCAACAAGATATAGATAGGCAAGGGGAGTGGGCAAGTAGGTGGCAGATGGAATTCAATGTTAGCAAGTGTGAAATTATTCACCTAGGTAGCAAGAATAAAAGAACAGATTATTTTCTGGAAGGGGAGAAGTTAGATAGGGTTAGTATTCAAAGGGATTTGGGTGTCCTTGTACACCAGTCCCAAAAAGTTAGTTTGCAGGTGCAGCAAGCAACTAAGAAGGCGAACGGCATGTTAGCGTTCATTTCGAAAGGTTTAGAATATAAGAGTAGGGAAGTCTTGCTGCAACTGTATAGGGCTTTGGTGAGACCGCACCTAGAGTATTGTGTGCAGTTTTGGTCTCCTTATTTAAAAAAGGACATACTTGCCCTAGAGGGGGTGCAGCGTAGATTCACTCGGTTAGTTCCTGGGATGAGGGGACTGACCTATGAGGATAGGCTGAATAAACTAGGGCTGTATTCTCTAGAGTACAGAAGAATTAGGGGGATCTTATTGAAACATATAAGATTCTTAAAGGGCTGGATAAAGTAGACACAGAGGGACTGTTTCCCCTGGTAGGAGAATCTTACACCTGGGGTCACAGTCTTAAAATTAAGGGTTAGCCTCTTAGAACAGAGTTGAGGAAACATTTCTTCACTCAGAGGGTAGTGAACTTATGGAATTCACTACCTCAGAAGGCTGTAGATGCTCAGTCCTTGAACATTTTCAAGGCTGAGACTGATAGATTCTTGAAAACTAGAGGGATTAGGGGATATGGGGATAGGGCAGGTAATCAGAGTTAGGTGAGAAGATCAGCCATGATCTTATTGAATGGCGGAGCAGGCACGAAGGGCCGAATGGCCTACTCCTGCTCCTAATTCTTATGTTAACAGAATCAATCTGGTTAGAGGTCAGCAATAGGAAAGGAGTGGTTACACTGATAGGGGTTTACTATAGACCACCAGATAGCGGGAAGGAGATAGAAGAGCAGATCTGCAACCAGATCACGGACAGATGTAGGGCGAACAGAGTTGTCATAATGGGGGATTTCAATTATCCCAATATAGATTGGTAAAATAGCAGCGTTAAGGGCAAGGCAGGAAAAAGGTTCATCAACTGTACAGGAAAATTTTCTTGAGCAGTATGTCTCCAGTCCTATAAGGAAGGAAGCATTGCTCGATCTTGTCTGGGAATGAAGCAGGTCAGGTTGAACAAGTTTCGGTAGGGGAGCATCTAGGTAACAGTGACCATAATATTATTAGATTTAGATTACTCATGAACAAAGGACAAAGTACAGTCAAGGGTGAAAATGCTTGACTGGAAAAGAGCTTTTGATGGGCTAAAGAGGAACCTAGAGTTGGTGGACTGGCAAGTAAGAATGGCAGGTAAAACGACTCATGAGCAATGGGAAATCTTCAAAGATATGATAGCTCAGGGTCTAAACAGATATATTCCCACAAAAGGGAAATGTGCGAGAACCAAGCCTGCTTGGATGACCAGGGATATTCTGTCTAGGAAGAAAAAGAAGAAGATGGCGTACGACAATTGGCGGATACAAGACACTGAGGATAGCAAAGCGCATTATAGAGAATGCAGGAGTGATCTTTAAAGAGCGATAAGACAGGCAAAAAGATCGCATGAGAAGAGGTTAGCAGGTAACATAAAGGGGAATCTTAAAATATTTTATAAGCACATAAAGGAAAAAGGTTAGTTAAAGGTAGGGTGGGGCCAATCAAAGACAATGACGGCAATCTTGTTGTGGAGGCAGAGGGCTTGGCTGATGTACTAAACGAGTACTTTGCATCTGTCTTCACAACAGAAACGGATGCCCCAAATGCCACAGTATTGGATGACAGCGTAGAGGACATAGATCAGATTACTATAGACAGAGAGAAAGTTCTGAAAAGATTGACTGGGCTCAAAATTGATAAGTCACCAGCACCAGATGGGTTTCACCCAAGGTTGCTGTGGGAGATACGGGTTCAAATAGCGGAGGCTTTGGCCATTATATTTCAATCGTCATTGAACACAGGAGTGGTGCCAAGAGATTGGACAGTGGCTAATGTTACCCCACTCTACAAAAAGGGGCAGAAAGACAAGCCCAGAAATCACAGGCCAGTCAGCCTAACTTCGGTAATAGGAAAGCTACTGGAGACTGTAATCCGGGACAAAATAAATCTCTACTTAGAGGAACACGAGGTAATTAGAGACAGCCAACATGGATTTGTTAAAGGGAAATCTTGCCTAACAAATCTAACAGAATTTTTTGAAGAGGTGACTGCGAGGGTTGATGAGGGAAATGCAGTGGACATTATTTACATGGATTTTAAAAACAGTACCGCATAAGAGGTTAATAAAAATACTGGAGGCCCACGGTATTAAGGGGACAGTGGCAGTTTGGATTAGGAACTGGCTGAGTGACAGATAGCAGAGGGTGGTGGTTAATGGGTGTTTCTCGCAATGGAAGGAGGTGTGCAGCGGTGTCCCCCAGGGATCGGTATTGGGACCACTGCTCTTTCTAATATATATTAATGATCTGGACTTGGGCATAGAGAGCACTATTTCCAAGTTTGCAGATGATACCAAGTTAGGTAGGGTAGTAAATAGTGAAGAAGATTGTGATGGACTGCAGGCAGACATACACAGAATGGTGGAATGGGCTGACGTGGCAGATGGATTTCAATGTAGATAAGTGCGAGGTGATACACTTAGGTAGGAAAAATGATAGGAGGCAATATAGGCTTGGTAGCTCAATCGTGAGGAGGGTGAACGTACAGAGAGATTTGGGCGTTCAAGTAAGCGATTTATTGAAGGTGGCAGAGCAGGTAGATAGGGCAGTAAAAAGGGCATTTGGTGTACTGAGCTTCATTAGTAGGGGCATAGAATATAAGAGTAGGGAGGTTATGCTTAATCTGTACAAAACACTGGTTAGGCCTCAGCTGGAGTACTGCGTCCAGTTCTGGGCACCTTACCTCAGGAAGGATATTAAGGCACTGGAAAGGGTGCAGAAGAGATTCACGAGAATGATACCAGGAATGGGGAAGCTTAGCTATGAGGATAGGCTGGAAAAGTTGGGACTTTTCCCATTAGAGCAGAGAAGGTTACGCGGGGACCTGATAGAGATCTTCAAGATCATGAAAGGTTTCGACAGGCTAGATAGGGAAAAGCTGTTTCCGCTGGTAGGTGTGTCTGTGACTCGTGGTCACAGTCTTAAGATATCTACCAAAAGAACCAGAGGGGAGGTTAGAAGAATTTTTTCACTTAGTGAGTTGTTAGAATTTGGAATGATCTGCCTGAAAGGGCAGTGAAGTCCAATTCGATATCAGCTTTTAAGAGAGAACTGGATAGGTATCTGGAGAAGACAGGTTTGCAGGGTTATGGGGAGAAAGCTGGTGATTGGGGTTAGTGAAAGTGACTTGCTCTGTCAAACAGCCGACACAGACTCGATGGGCCGAATGGCCTCCTTCTGTGCCGTAACATTCTATGATTCTATGTAAGCCTTCTTTGATTTGTTTTGTTGTTCATTTTGTTGAATTCTATTAAATACAGCAGATAGAAGATCACAGAAGAGGAAGTCCATGCAGTGTAACCACTGATTGTTTGTGGTGATGGTGGTGGAGGAGGAGTGTGTTTAGTATGCAGTGTAATTCTGGGGTTTCTTTGTCTCTCCAGCTGCTCAAATTTATCCCTGAGAAGAGCGACACAGACCTTCTGGGAGAGCATAAGCACGAGATTGACCGCATGGCGAGGGCTGATCGCTTCCTCTTTGAAATGAGCAGGTTTGAAATGAAATGATGTAGCATCCTCTCCTGATTGTCGGGGTGTTTCTGTCAGGATTACCAAGGAGACCATTCCTCGGAAACAACAAATACTTCTTTTTATGTTGTATCTTTGTCTACTGTTTCTAGGTTTCTAGTCTTGTTTATCCCCTGTTTTAGGTGCCCTGCCCCCAGGTGGAGTAAAGCAGCCAGTCACCTGGCTCTCATCTGGCCTATTTTTTTTCCTGCACATCAGTTTTTTCCTCTCCTGAATGTACTGACACATGCTAGAGTACAGATCCACGGTACCTCACTTCAAGTGTCCGCTCTTCACACATGAGCCTTAACAGTAAGTGCTGGTAGGCTATTCATCCATCAACACTCAACCCAATCCTGCTTTTACCCCATGCCAAAGAACATGTGATTCTACCAAAGGGCCATTGGATAGCAGTCACTATTGGGATCCCTGGTTAATGCCGCATCTCCTTCCCTCCTTTGCCTCGGGCATTTAGCTGAGATTAGTTTTGTGTGTGTGTGGGGGGGGGGGGGGTTGGGTTGGGCAGAGGAAGGGGCTGGCAAAATAGAATCTGAAACTCATCAGGGCCTATGTGGTTCAGTTCCATCATGACAAGTGCGTTTCCAACAGCGGCACTGAGGAAAGCCATCTGTTTTGCTGTTGTATTTGTCATGACAGTCGATCTCACTGTTTGTTAGCCTCAGGGATTGGCCCATGCCAGCCTTCATAATGAAGCACATTAATGAGTGAGAGCTGATCCTGAGAGTGGAGACCATTTGCTATCGATCTGGAGTCTCAAATCTTCTCCAAATTATACACCAACAATTTATTTTTGTATTTTTATAGAGTCTTGTCATGTTGAAACATCTCAAAGTGGACTCCATATCTCCCCAATGTGGAGTCCTGTAGCTCAGTGGTTAGAGCACTCGCTTTGCAAGCGAGAGACCTGGGTTTGATTCCCGGCAGGGCAAAACCTTGGGCAAGTTTCCTTACTCCACACACCTGATAATAATCCCTCAAGAAAAAAAATAATAAATTGGTCATTTCAATCCACGACTGTTTGTGGGACACTGCTGTGAGCAACTGGCTGCTGCGTTTTGCCCACAAATATACAGTCAATTCACTTTACAGTATAGTCTGTGAAGCTCTTTGATACATCTAGAAGATGTGAAAAGCACTATATCAAATGCAAGGAATAAAGTGCTTTAGGTGTAAGGAGCCAATTGTACACAGCAATGTCTCACAAATAGCCTTGAGGTAATTGATCAATCAATCTGAAGGATTGTTAGCCAGCACACTAGGAGAAAAACTCCTGTCTTATCCAATAGTCTGATGAATTGTTCTGATTCAACTGAAGCAGATAAAGGATCTCAACTGAACACATCTTCCGAATGAATAACAGCTCCGACAATGCAGTGCTTCCCCAATGCTGTACCTGGAGTGGCAGCCTAGACCTTGAACTTAAGGCCGTAATGTGTAACTTTAATCCGTAATCTTCTGATTTGGAGGCAAGAATGCTATTGACTGAGCCATCCTGACGCTGGTTTGCTCTTGGTGTGGAACTAATCTGTTTACATGAAACATGTTGTACTTGCCCACAGAATTGATCACTATCAGCAGCGACTCCAGGCCCTGTACTTTAAGAAGAAATTTGCTGAACGACTAGCAGAGGCAAAGCCAAAGATCGAAGGTAAGTCTGCTGAGGAGGCCAGGCTGACTAAATATTTACACTCTCACATAATTTCTGGAATAACATTTCTCTGCCCCACCAGCGTGGGCCTCACCAGCTGTGAAGCTTCATATGCCATTTGTTTTTTCAGAGGGAGCTGGTTGCTAGGTGAGCTTTTTTAACAAGTAGTAAATCAGATGATAAATTGGTGTGTCTTGAGGTTTTGCTAGTTATAGGGAACGGTATCAGTTTTCCCCCCCTATCCCTCCCTCCCTGTCCTTCCGTGTGGGAGGGGAAGCACTTTGGCCTTCGGTTGGCACTGTGCCCAATGGCCCAACATTATCCAGTAGCTTAACAACATGTGGAAGCCCCAAGTCCCTGAAACCCACGTGTGTGCCGAAGCCTTTGATGAGTTGCAGATCGAGTTTACATTCTCAAATGGAAATGTGTCTCTTGGGTCTTTTCCCTCAGCCATTCTCCTGGCTTCCAAAGAACTGTGCCGCAGCAAGAGGCTGAAGCAGCTGCTGGAGGTGGTGCTGGCATTTGGTAACTACATGAATAAAGGGCAGAGGGGCAATGCTTTTGGCTTCAAGATTTCCAGCCTGAATAAAATTGGAGACACAAAGTCAAGTATCGACAGGTATGTCTTTGTGGGTTTCTCTTTTGGATTAGAAAGCAAGTATGTTTAGGGCAGAAAAAGATCACTAGGCTCCATCAACTCTTCCTTTCATTTTTCATTCAACTTGCCCACCCCCCCCCCGTCCACCCCACACATTCCAGGTTTTAACACAACCTTTAGACTCAGAGCCAAGAGTGCTACCAACTCACGCAAGTTGACACATAAAAGTAATCACATGCAAGGTTTCTAATTTGTGCTTGGAACTCTTTTATTCTAGGAACATCACACTGTTGCACTATCTGATCATGATATTTGAAAAGACCTATCCCGAGATCCTGACCATTCAGTTAGACTTACTGCACCTACCGGAGGCAGCCAAAGTCAAGTGAGTAATGCAGGAAGCAAGCTTGTGTTTGTGTTATATTAGTTCCAGACAATTTTCATGCCCTCTCTTGAAGATGCTGCTTCATAGATCTGCTAATGTCTCAATGACAATCAGTGCCTGTATTGTACTAAGGCTCAAAGGATGCAAGTTACAATCCTGGCCAGGCCAGAGTGAGCTAATCTTAGCTTGGGGAGCAAGTGGGGTGTTCGTGTGTAAGGGAGGGTAACAATTAGCCATTCTTGCTGATCAGGACTCACTCCCTCCTATCATTTGACCTGTGAGTGTGCATAGTGGGTGAGTTCGGGCTAAAGGGACGGGAAGCATTAATTGCGACTTCCAAAAACTGTCAAGTGTGAAAGAAGACTGGAAAATGTTTATTCCCTCCCCATATGAAAACACAAAAGATAAATTGATAGACCACATGTCCCAGGCCAACTCTGAATTTTATTTGCTCTAAAAGAAATGTTTTTAAAAAATATATATATATCATTTGCAATCTCTATACAGCCTAGCAGAGCTCGACAAGGAGATGAACCATTTGAAGAATGGGCTGAAGGCTTTAGAAGATGTAAGTATCCACTAAAAGTTAGTGTTGAAAAGAGTGCCGCTCCATTGGGGAGTGGAGCGATTAAATCCAAAACACCACAGAGCTGTGCTGTAAAGCTTTACTTACTGTTGGTTCTGTGGGCATTTTTCTGTCTTCTTCTCCTACTCCTCGATTCACATAAGAGGTAAAATCAGAGGGTGTATTGATACAGAATGCTATGTAATGCAAGGATTATTAATGTAGCACTTTCTAATCGTCAATTGGGAAACAGCCATTGACCGAGGCCTGGGAGCGAGCTAATGGTCTACCTCTTGTCAGTGAACGAATCACAGCTCTGGTCGAGGGATCTGAGAGGAAGAGATGGGGGCAGGGGTAAGGAAAGCCTGTATAAAATAAAAGTTCAATACCATTTCACGGTGAGCTTTAAACGCTGACAGGATTATTTAGTGCCTTGCGGGTAAAATAATATTAAACCCAGGCAGCCCATAGTCCCAGAGGAACAGCATTTCAGTTGTATTTAGAGGGTGCTGGTTTGAAACACAGTCATCCTGCCCTTTGAACTTGGCAACCATCTATGGGGGAAGTGATGAAGAGGAATCTTTTTCTCTTCCCCCCAAAAAAATTGCGAAAGGAAAACGTAACCATATGTTTTACCAAAAGCATCAGCGAGGAACTGATGGCTGGTAGGATTTACCTTCATTCATAGCTTCCTCGGTTTGGCTCGAGCACATTCACTGGAAAACCAGGAGCTCAATGCCTTTGTTTCTGAGTTCAGAAACTGCTTTAGGCAACACAGCAGAATAATAATGATAATCTTTGGATTTGATATGGTCCTTATCATGCTGAAATGCCTCGAAATACTTTACAGGTAATTGTTGTCAAGTGTAGTGACTACCTTTTTTGTAGGCAATTCACAGTAGCAGCAAATCACAGCAAAGTTCCACTAGCAGCCATGAGCTGAATGACTAATTCATCTGGAGATTTGTCAAGAGGAACTCTCTGCAAAAGGGTCATGAAACTTCCACCTGAATAGTCGTCATAGCCTTAACTTAACGTCTCATCCAAAACAGGACACGTCTGACAATGGAGCAGGCACTTCCTCTAGTAATACACGGGAGGGTCAGTGCGGAATATGCACTGATACCTCTCTATTAGTGGAGTCCTGTAGCTTAGTGGTTAGAGCACTCGCCTCGCAAGTGAGAGACCTGGGTTAAATTCCTGGCAGGGCGAAACCTTGGGCAAGTTTCCTCACGCTTGATAATAATCCCTCAACAAAAAACCCAACAATGATAAAACTGGCCATTTCAATCCACAACTGTTTGTGGGACACTGCTGTACGCAATTGGCTGCCGCATTTCGTCCACAAATATATAGTCAATTCACTTTACAGTATATTCTGTGAAGCACTTTGAGACGTTTTGAAGATGTGAAAAGCGATATTTCAAATGCATTTGATTATTTATTATATATCTGGGTTGCTGAAGAGGGGACCTTATTAGACAGTGGCAGAAAGCAATGCTAAATTGTTCAGCTGACTCCACTGTTTGTGTATGTATGAGCTCTATGGTCTGCTTTTGGCATAAGGCCTCAGAACAGCCATCGAGCCTTAACCATAAACTGTCGTGCTCCCCCACCCCCCACCTAACTACTATGATTTGTTGCTTTATTTATTGTCACTTAGCAAAACAGTAAGCAGCTGTTGCATTTGTAAAGATCTAAATTATCTTTTACTTTTCACTCCTCTTCCCCCACCCACTAACCAAACCTCACCTCACCTTACCCCACATCATCCCACTTCACCCCAACTCACCACACCACACACAGGAGCTGGATTACCAGAAAGGCCATGTGAGGGACCCACGGGACAGGTTCGTTTCAGTAATGAACGACTTCATTACAGTGGCCAGTTTCAGCTTCTCCGAGATGGAAGACCTTTTGAGCGAAGCAAAACACAAGGTAAGGAGAAAGGAGCATAGATGGTGCCGTTAGGATAAGTGGGGTCAAAGCCCTACTGTGATATCTCACAGTTGTCAAGAATCTGGGATGGTGTGGCGGGAGGGCATAGTGAGCTGAAGACCCTCCCCTAAAATATGTGTATGTGTTGGTCCAACAAGTCAGAAGTGAGCTTTGAAGAAGGTTACAGTTTATTTCATTGGAGTCACTGAACAAAAATAACAACAAATTACACTTGTTAAGCACCATTCACGTCGGAGAGATATCCCAGGATGCTACTATGGACGACATACCAGCAAGTATTTCTTTACCCAGAAGGTAATTAATGGCTGGAAAGGGTTATCAGGGGAAATGGTAAAGGCCAGAATGGTGAACCTTATAAAATGTAGTTTGATACTGTAATGGGAAGATTGTGGGATGGTTATTATGCATGGATGAGGTCAAATGGATTGAAGCACCTTATTCATTCAAATCAGTATTCTGATCTTCAACTCACAAGCAGTAGCTTTCTATTGGAAGAAAAAATAGTTTCAGGGCTTGTGTTTATAGTCCAGAGAGCCTACAGAATCTTTGATGCTATTTTTCAACAAAACAGAGGTTGAAAGGAGATGTGATCGAGGTGTTCAAAATTATGAGAGATTTTGAAAGGTAAGTAAGGAGAAACTATATGAGTTAGTAAATATTGGACATAACTTTAAGTTCATTCCCCAAAAATCAAAAAGAGGTTAGGAGAGAGGGATTTTTAAGACTGCACCAAAAACTTTGGTTGAAACAGAATCCATAATAACTTTTAAAAGAGAATTGGGGAACAAGGAAAAATCTGAAAGGGTATGATGGGTGGAAGTGCAGGTAGTGAGACTGAATGGATGGCTTTTTCATAGAGTTGCCACAAATAATCCTTGCATTTGATATAATAATAATAATAATAATAATCCTTGCATTTGATATAGCGCTTTTCACGTCGGGAGGACGTCCCAAAGCGCTTCACAGAACACACTGTAAAGTGAATTGACTGTACATTTGTGGGCGAACGCGGCAGCCAATTGCGCACCAGCAATAATAATAATAATAATAATCCTTGCATTTGATATAGCGCTTTTCACGTCGGGAGGACGTCCCAAAGCGCTTCACAGAACACACTGTAAAGTGAATTGACTGTATATTTGTGGGCGAACGCGGCAGCCAATTGCGCACAGCAATGTCCCACAAACAGTCGTAGATTGAAAATGACCAATTTAATTATTGTTTTGTTTTTTTTTGGAGGGAAACTAGCCCAGGGTTTTGCCCTCTGCCTGGAATTGAACTCAGGTCTCTCACTTGCACTGAGCTACAGGACTCCGCAAGCATGATGGATGGAATGCTTTCCTTCTGTACTGAGGAATTCATAGAATCATAGAATTATACAGCACAGAAGGAGGCCATTCAGCCCATCGTGTCTGCGGCTCTTTTAAAAGAGCTATCCAAATCAATCCCACTCTCCTGCTCTCTCCCCATAGCCCTGCAAACTTGTGCTCCTCAAATAATTATCTACTTCCCTCTTAAAAGTTGTTATTGAATCAGCTTCCACCATCCTTTCAGGCAATTAATTCAAGATCCAAACAACTCGCTGTGTGAAAAAATTTCTCCTCACCTCCCATCTGTTTCTTTTAACAACTATTTTAACTATTCCACTATTACCACCATTGGAAATAGTTTCTCCTTGTTCACCCTATTGAATTCTCTCATAATTTTGAAAACTTCTATTAAGTCTTCTCTTAACCTTTTCTACTTATATGAACCCCCAGGTTTCTCTGTCCCTTCACCCCCTTTAAGATTGTACCATCAGCTTATATCGCCTCTCCTCATTCTCCCTCCCAAAATACATCACTACACATTTCTCTACATTAAACTTCATCTGCCACGTGTCTGCCCATTTTAACAGTCTGTTTATGTCCATTTGCCGTCTGCTACGATCCTCCTCACTGTTTACTACTTTTCCTAGCTTAGTATCATCTGCAAACTTGGAAATTGTACTCCCTGTACCCAAGTCCAGGTCATTTATATAGATCAAAAACAGCATTGGTCCCAATACTGACCCCTGGGGGACACCTCCAGTCAGAAAAACTACCGTTCACCACCACTCAATGCTTTCTGTCTCCCAGCCAGTTCTGTATCCATGCTGCAACTCTCTCTTTAATACTGTGGACTTCTATTTTGCTTACACGTCTCTTATGTGGCATTTTATCAAACGCCTTTTGAAAATCCATATAAACTACATCTGCTATTCTGTATCATAGAATTATACTTATACAGCACAGAAGGAGACCATTCATGGCTGTGCTGGTACTTTGAAAAGAGCGATCCAAATCAATCCCACTCCCCTGCGCTCTCCCCATAGCCCTGCAAACTTGGCCTCCCCAAATAATTATCTATTTGTTAGACGTGATTTGCCCTTAACAAACCCATGTTGGTCGTCCTTTATTAATCCATATTTTTCTAAGTGAGAATTTATTTTGTCCTGGATTATAGTCTCTAGAACTTTCCCCACTACTGACGTTAGACTTCTGGCCTGTAGTTCCCAGGTTTATCATTCTGCCCCTTTGTGTACAGGGAATTCCAGTACAATTCTAGTCTAACACTCCATATTATATTTTCTATCCCATATTCTGGCAAAGAAAAGAGTGGGAGTGGGGGGGGGAGGGGGGAGGAGAAATAGCAAGTGACATCATTCCTTGAGCAGTCTCAACAGCCTCACTGTAGTCAGCCACTGTGAGGAATCATCATGTCAGGAGCAAAGACTTAAGACTGGAGTGTTTCAACAATAGAAAAAGACTAATTATTTCAGCTTGAGCATCACATGTTACAATGTATAACTTTGCATCTTTACCCTCTCTCTCCACCTTCACTTCCTCTCCCACCACTTTCCCGCCAAATACATAATGTTTCTGACTGGAATCCCCCTCAGACTCTAAGCTGTAATAATTCACATCTTAGCCAGGCTTCTGTTTGTTATTCCATTGGCATTGCGACGTGAAGCTAGCAATAAGGCTTGCGCTCGCTATAAATCACAGCTTTTCTTAGTTCTTTCTCGTGGAAAGTCTGACTGGACAGATATGCCTGGAGCCATTACTTTTTTCTCAATGCAGCTCCTGCAGACAGGCAGACCTGGAGCATAAAACAAGCTCTCGCTTTTATCCTACGTCACATATCTAAAAATATCAGTTTTACTGCCACATTAACCGGCCCCAGCCATAAAACTCCCATCATACTGGACACGATTCCTGACAAACCTAAGGTACCATTGAAAGTCCTGGTTTCCTGTTCCAAACCCTACTTCTTTCTATTAAATCAGTGAATGTATCTCCTTTTTCTCTTAATATTTATGCAATCCGGTTCTGTTAATGGAGTTTCTTGGCAGAACTTCTGTTTTATGTTGCTTCAAAGAACCTTTGTAAATATAGATTTCCTTTGGTGTAAATTCCCTTTTGATTTTCATAATTTTGGTGGAACAGCAGTTTTGAGGCATAAACAGCTGTGATTTCTTTCCCACTCTCGCTCTCTTCTCTGTCTCTCCCCCCACCCCACACAGGTGCTGCGTGCTGTCCAATCAGCATATCTTGTATAATAACAGAACTTCTCCACATGCTCTGCTCCCCTCTTATGTGGAAACCTGTAGCTCAGTGGTTAAAGCACTCACCTCACAAGCACAAGACCTGGGTTCGAACCTGGCAGGGCGAAACGTTATGCAATTGGCTGCTGCCTTTCACCCAGAAATATACAGTCAGTTCACTTTCCAGTATATTCTGCAAAGCACTTTGAGACATCTCAAAGACATGATAAAATGCTATGCAAGGATTATTTTTATTAACATTATTATCTTCTACTGCCTCCGACCTGACCTTCCATCGCTGGTTTTGTCCTGACTCAAGCCATTGCTTCTGGGTTTAACCTAACCTGCAACTGACCTGTTTGTGGGACATTGCTGTGCCCAAATTGGCTGCTGCATTTGCCCACAAAAACATTACAGTCACTACACTTGACAGTAAATCCTGTGAAGCACTTTGAGACATGTCGATAATGTAATAATCATCAAATGCAAGGATTATTATAAATACTGTGAAGCACTTTGAGATGCTTCCTTTAAAGTCTCCTTGTCTGGTTTATTTTCAAAGCTGAATAGCCTTTATCCATGTTTATTCAAGTCATCTCTGCAATAATGGGCAGCAGTCTCATAGCTTTCATCAGCTTGTGAGTAACTAGGTGTAATTTTAAAATTATTTGTCTTCACTGTATAATTTTTATCTTGTTTAAAAAAAACACATTTTCGATCTAAGAGTAATTTGAAGTTGGTTTAGGAACATAGGAACAGGAGGAGGCCATGCAGTACGTTGAGCCTGTTCTGCCATTTCATTAGATCATGGCTGATCTATACCTCAACTAAACCTTTCAATTCCAATTTCCTGCTTTCTCCCCATATCTCTTAATACCCTGACCTACCAAAAGTCTATCAACCTCACTCTTGAAGGTGTGGATGGATCCAGCATCCACGGCCTTTTAGCGGAGAGACTTCCATTTTTCTATCACCCTTTGAGTGAAAAAATGCTTCCTGATTTCACTCTTAAATGGCCTGGTTCTAATTTGAAGACTATGCCCCCTTGTTTTCGATTCCCCCAACAGAGGAAATAGCTTCTCTGTATCTACCCTATCAAATCCCTTTATCATCTTAAATGCCTCAATCAAAACACCCCTCAACCTTCTAAACTCAAGGGAATACAATCCAAGTTTACACAGCCTTTCCTCGTAACTTAACCCTTTTAGGCCTGGTAACGTTCTGGTGAACCTGCACTGCACCCCTCCAGGGCCAATATATCTTTCCTGTGGTGTGGTGCCCAAAACCGAACGCAGTCTCCAGATGGGGTATGACCAATGCTCTACAGCTGATGCATCATTTCTTCCCCTTTGTATTCCAGGCCCCTTGAGATAAACGCCAACAATCCATTCACCTTTCTAATTACTTTTGCACC